CAGTGCTTACACAGGAGGAGGATCTCTGCGGTTTGCTGATCAGCTTGCTTTGCTGACTTTGGTGAGCTTCAGATTCAGTGAGAGACTTTGTCTCAAAAATGAAGTGGAGAACCTGTTATTGACCTCTAGCCTCCACACCCGTGCGGGCCTGCATATGCACACCTCTCTCTCTCTCTCTCTCTCTCTCTCTCTCTCTCTCTTTCTCTCTCTGAATCAGTTACTTCTCCTGTTGCTGTAATAAAATGCCTAACAAAAGCAACTTAATGCAGGAAGAAGGCACACAGGGATTTGAGCAGCTGGTCACACTGCACCTACAGTTGGGAAGCAGAAGTCAGTGGTTTATATTTAACTCACTTGGTTCTCAGTCCATGGAATGGTAGCCCTGTACTTAGGGTGAGTCTTTTAACCCATTTAACTGAATTTAGAAGCTCCTTTATTGACTTGCCCAGACTTTTGTCTCTCAGGTGATTCTAGGTCCTGTCAAGTTGATCATATTAATCATCTCTTTTTCTCATGTATGCATGAACTCTCTCTCTTCCTCTCTCCCTCCCTCCCTCCCTCCCTCCCTCCCTCCCTTTTCCCCCACACACACTTAACTGATTATTTAAAGGAAATAGTAAGTCTCATAAGTGAAACAGTATGAGTTTGACTAGAAAAATAAGAAAATTATGAGAGAACTTGGTCTTGTCTCAAATTCTGTTTATCGTCTATTAGAACTTACTACAATGATTTGGAGAATATCAATTCCTACAACTAACAGCTTAAGCTTAAGAAAGATGGATGTGAGGGTTAGATTACCTTTGATTCTTAAGAACATAATGATCTTATCTCTTCCTGTTTTTGAAAAGTTCCCTTTGAGATATTTATCTATTTTTGTTGCTATAACAATACTTAAGACTAGATAATTTATAATGAAAAGAAATTCCTTTCATTTTCTTGTTTTTTCCTCCTTATTCTTGGAGACAGAGCCTCATGATACTATCCTAGGCTAGCCTTGAACTTGTTATGTAGCCAATGATGCCCTTGAAATTAAAATCTTCTTTCTGACACCTCCTAAGTGCCACCATGTGTTTAGTTTAATGTGGTACTGAGCTTTCTACCAATGGATCCACACCCACCCACCCAGCCCATTATTTCTGTTGTTCCTGAAAGCTGGAAGTTCAGAATTGAGAGATTTTCAAATGTTGAGGGGTTCCCCCCCCCCCCGCCCCCAGTTATACCATGTGGATGGATAAAAAGTGCAAGAGAGGTCATAATCTTAGGAAGAAAAATACCTGGATGGTCTCCCTCATGGGCAGATCCTAGCGCTCTCGCTCTCTCTCTCTCTCTCTCTCTCTCTCTCTCTCTCTCTCTCTCTCTCTCTCTCTCTCTCTCTCTCTCTGTGTGTGTGTGTGTGTGTGTGTGTGTGTGTGTGTGTGTGTGTGTGTGTTTAGGGATGTATGCATCATATCATGTGTATGGAGGTCAGAAGACAACTTGCAGGAATTATCTCCTTCCACTTTGTGATCCTGGGAATCGACTCAGGTTGTCAGGCTTGGCAGCAAGCACCTTCCTTTACCCTCTGAGCCATCTCTGTGTACCCCCACTCCTCTCTTTAAGACAGATTCTTGCTATGTAGGGTAGGGTGGCCTTGAACTTCTTTAGCCTCTTGACTCAGCCTTCAGCGTGCTGGGATTATAGGAATGTGTTAGCCACACCCAGTTTGATTAGCTTTTACTTAAAAGTACATAGTAAATGACCTGATTAATTGTACAATGATCCCTCTTCACTGAATGTGGAAAGTTCTAACTCTGCCTGCTTCGGAAGTACGCTTGTGTGATGTTTGGTGCTCTTCATATTATCACATCCCATTACAAATGAGTATGTGAAAAATAACTACAATATGTCCCTTTCTTTTTTTGAACTTTGACATAGATTTTCTATGTTAATTTGTTGTGAACATTTAACTGTCTTTGTAGAATAGTGTTACTGTAATTATAGCTCGAGTCTGTGGGCAGTTTTTACTATCTAATAGCTGGAATGCACTGAAGAATCTCTTTACTTAGAACTTTCACAGATGCTGCAGTTGAATTTACCATTCCGAAGAATTTCTTTTACAGCCAGGCAGTGGTGGTGCACACCATTAGTCCCAACACTCTGGAGAGAGAGACACGTGGATCTCTGTGAGTTCCAGGTCAGCCTGGTCTACAGAGTGAGTTTTAGGACAGCCAAGACTACACAAAGAAATCCTTTCTTGGGGGGAAGAAAATAATTTTTTTTTATAACACTCAACATTTATTAAATAAAATCATTTGATCTAGTACTGTCATAGAGTTTAACCTGCCTAATTTTGATCCTTTGTTCTGTTTTTCCTTTATTACTAATTGCTTAAATTTGAACTTTACTTGGGATTTTACTAGCTTTTTTTTCCTAATGTTTTCTTTTGTTCTCCCAGGATCCTGTTCAAGACTGCATTTAGTTGTTATATAGCCCTAGCCTCTCTGGGGCAGTAGGTAAATTCTCTTTACTTGGGTGAGAGTACTTTTCCATTGTAAAGTTAATCTATTTTTCTGTTCTTTCTAAGTAGTAACTACATCCAGGCTACCTTGAAAAGAGAAAAGGGGCAGGAATGAAGCTATGCTTCCCTTTAGGAACATACTAGATATAATATTTTGTTCTTCCATAAAAAAGATTAATCTCTCTTTTTCTTTAGTTTTTTTTAAATCATTTATGGATATCAATATAGATGTTTCTAGTTTGGCTTTTAACCCAGCACTATGCTGTTTATTGTGTTCTGTTATTAATTGATCAGTATTGGCCAATAGGAGTTCTTTCAGATTGATTTCTATACCTTTCTGACATTTTCATGTCATCTCTAATACTATAAGATGTTTCAGGCTTACCTTTCTAATAAGATTGTTTTCCTGTCCTAAGGTCTAGAATTTGTTATTTTCCCAAGAAGTCTATTCCCTTTTATTACAGAATGATATTTAAAAACGATTCATGTTGGATATAGGGTTTGCATGTTGCTACGTGGGTTTTGCTGCCTCTTGTCCTTTTAGGGCTCACTTGACTGATAGATGTACCTGCTTTCCTTCACAGAGAGAATATTTGAGACAAACAAAAAAGTAATTCTTAGTATCTGTTATAAAACTTGGCTAATTATCAGTCAGTGAGTAGTCTGTTTCATTTATATGACTTCTGACACCTGTCTTGGGTAATATTCTACTTATTATTTGTAGTAAATTTCAGTAACTATATTAGTTTACCTGAAAATGTTTTTGTTTTTATCACTACATAGTGAAGACTTCTAAAAATATATTCTTAAATTGAGGTATAGTTGGCATTATGCTAAGATCAAGATATGAAACATTTTCAGCTCATTGCCACTGATAATTTTTTTTACAAGTGATGTGTGATGTTTGTGTTTGTGGTTTGTGGTGTGTATGCCCATGTGTGTGTGCAGATGTGTGTCCTCATACATAGCGAGGCCAGAGGAAGTTTTGAATGTCTTGCTCTATTATTCTACACCTTATTCACTTGAGGCAGGCTTGCTCCTGCTTACTCAACCTGGAGTTAGGCTGGTGATCAGTAAGCCCCAGCGATCCTCGTGTGTCTGCCTAATCACAGTGCTAGGGTTATAGGTACGCATGTGACTATATCCAGGTCTTTACCTGAGTTCTGGGTATTTGAACTCAGATCTTGGTGCTTGCACAATAAGAGCTTTGACTTGCTGAGCCATCCCCACCTCCCTTTTTGAGACACTATCTTGCTATGCAGAACAGGATGGCTTTAAACTTAGAGTGATTGTAGCCGAATTTCTAAATGGTCTTATTAAATAAAAAACTTGGAGCCAGAAATTTGGGTTAAAGCCTCAGAGAGATCAGGGAAATATGGAAAGCCACCAGCCAACCTTACCTCACAAACTCTGCAACTTCCTGTCTACCCAGCCTTTATATGCCTTGCTTTTCTGCCCTCTCATTGGCTCTCTTAGCCCAGCTACCTCACTTCCTCTTCCTACACAGCTCTGTCACTTTCTGTCTGTACAGACCTCCAGGTCTCTATGGTTGGTACTGGGATTAAAGACGTGTGTCACCATACTTGGCTCTGTTCCCTAGTGTGGCCTTGAACACACAGAGATCCTGCCTGCTAAGGGATTAAGGGCATGTGCTGCCTGACTTCTTTGTTTACTTAAAATGGCTGCCCCGCCCCCCCCCCCCCATATCTCCAGGCAAGCTTTATTTATTAACACACAAATAAAATATCACATTTCAGCACAAATAAAATATCACAAGTGATCCTTTTGCCTCAGCCTTCTAAATGCTGGAGTTATAGTTATGCATCACTGTGTTTAGTGCCACTGATAGTTTTTATAAGAGCCTTTGAGGAACAAATACCTCATTACAGCATCATTTTTTTTCCCCCCAATCATGAGGATCAGACCTATGGCCTCATAAATGCCTAGTACCTAAAAAGTTGACAGTGATTTGCAGCTAGATATTTGGCGTTTGTGTGAGTTCCCTCTCCATTACCTTCTCCTCTGCCCTATAGTACACTGGTCAAAGATACACAGTGGCTTGTTTAATAATTACTATCACATTTTGCTGAACATACCTCCATGGTCTTGTCCGACATTGTATTCACTGTAGCTGTGCCGTGGGAAACCTCATCAGTTAGGTCCTCTGTTGTGTTCTACTAGCTAGGTCTAGAAGATTCTTTAAAAATATCTTGTATCCTTTCTTAATAACTAAGTCTTTCAGAAAGACCAAGTAACTTGGTATGTAGGAAGGAATTTCACTACTCTTGGCCAAAGACAGTTGTAAGGTAGCAGCATATGATTAGCTATTGGACTTTTTAAAGCAGCACTTCCTGGTTGTGTCAGAGTCGTTTTTTCTGTGGGCTGGTCTGATTGAAGTTCTGACTGAAGGATCTGCAGTACAGAAAGCAGGGTTATGTTATGAAGATAGGCTTGGCTATGCATGGTTTGTCAAGTTCTCTTTTGTTTGCTTTCTGCATTATAGATCAGCTCGAACGGGTCTTTTTACGACTTGGCCATGCTGAAACAGATGAACAGTTACAAAGTATTATATCTAAATTCCTCCCTCCTGTTTTGCTCAAACTGTCCAGCACCCAAGAAGGAGTACGGAAAAAGGTAAGCACGTTGGGGGCCGTTTGGGAAATAAATGGTGAATAAGTGGATATGTGTTGTGAAGTGAGTTTTTTTAATTCCTATTGTTGAAATGTAGGTTCATGATCCTAATTACAGCTTTTCCAAATGTATGGTAAGTCTAAGAACCAGCTTTCATGGTGGAAAAGCTTGATTGCCTGGTATAGCTGCCTTCACTACCCCATTGTGTGCTTGTGATCAGTGCCAGGGGATTTAATTGATATAATTCTCTGGACTCCTCTAAAACTGAATATGAAAGCCAGTGTAGAAAGGGGAAATGTTCTTTAATCATTGGTTGATGGTGAATATATCCTTAAATAAAGGTAGTAAAGGTAAGCAAATAATTTTTTTTTTTTTCAAGACAGGATTTCTCTGTGTAGCTTTGGAACCTGTCCTGGAACTCAGTCTGTAGACCAGGCTGGCCTTGAACTCACAGAGGTCCACGTGCCTCTGCCTCCCGAGTGCTGGGATTAAAGATGTACACCACCACCATCCGGCTGCAAATAAATTTTTTGAAAGCAAACTATTCTTATGTAACTTATACTTTATGTCCTACAAAATACTATTTCAAAAAAGTATATACCTATATCACTTTTATTTTTAAATTGTTCGATGTGGAACACTTTCTCCTTTAATTTGTAGTGTAGTTAATTATTTTTTCCAGTATATATATATTTTTTTTTTTTGGTTTTTTCGAGACAGGGTTTCTCTGTGTAGCTTTGCGCCTCTCCTGGAACTCACTTGGTAGCCCAGGCTGGCCTCGAACTCACAGAGATCCACCTGGCTCTGCCTCCCGAGTGCTGGGATTAAAGGCGTGCGCCACCACCGCCCGGCGACCTTCTGGTCTTTGAGCGGTCATCTCTTGGCATATTATAATTGATTGACGTTGACTTGAATGTCTACCCTAAGAAGCCTGATTTGAGTTCAGTGGGAAGAGTATCTCTCAGAATGTCTGTTTTGTTTGTTGTAGGAAAGGATGGACAATCTTGCCATATATTTGTTAATCTTTGTCTGCTGTTAATCCTTATTGCTGAGGTAGACTTGGTTTGGTCATATCAGTCTCCTATCTAAGACTCTTCCGTGGACTTTTCTTGCTCTCAGGGTATCAAAGGCTTTTTACAAATTGACATCTGTTTACTTTGTGTTATTAGTCTGGTTATTTACTGAAGGTTTTCTGTATGCCTTATGATACATGCTATATTTGTTACTTTTCTCTGTTGCTGAGACAAAATACCTAACAAAAGCTACTTAAGAAAGGAAGAATTTATTTTGACTCACAGTTTAAGAAAGGCTGATTAGATAGTAAGAATGTGAAGGCAATTGGTCATATTATATTCACTCAATGAGCAGAGAATGGGTGGAAGGTGAGGCCTGCCTATAAAAACCAGAGCACCTCCTCCCCACTGACCAACTTGCTCCAGTGAGATTTTATTGCCTAAAAAGGTTTTCCTTTCCAAACAGCACCACCAGCTGGGTACCAAGTAATAAAATACATGGGCTCATGGGGCACACTTTACATTTGTTAAGAGAGAAAAAGACAGGAGTAGATGGAAGAATATGAGTATGTGGTTAGGACTGAGGATGGATGGATGGGAGGCTTTTTGGTAAGCAAGAACAAAGATCCACCAGGTTAAGAGATGGTGGGTCTTAACTGACTGATGCCCTTGGTGAACTAAAGAAGGCCACAGAGATTCCCTCAGTGGATAAGGATGAGTGATAGGAGGAAACAGGGCTTTAGAGCACTGATTTGAAAGAGTGGTAGTGATATCTTACTTAACTGCTGAAGCTGTTTAGACTGGAAGCTGAAAGTGGAGTTCAGGAAGTAGCCAAAGAAACCATTGTGTTAGTTTAGGCTGAGTATTTTTAGTAGATTAAAAACAAACTGTTTACTTAATATAGTTTATTTCTTTGTATTTTAATCTTTTTTTAAAAAAATCATCCATCTTTAATTATATGTTTTAAATTTTAGGTGTATCATTCACTTCTGTTATACTGTTTATCCTATTATCCTTCCAAATGGAGAAATTTCATTCCTGTTTTCCAGGGTTCTTTTTGTATGTTTTTGTGTGTATGTACATGTTTGTATGTGCATGTCACTATACACATGTAAAGGCTAGAGACTGATGTTGGGTAGCTTTCCCAGTTGCATTCCACATTTTAAATATGTTTACAAGATTTTTTTGATTTTTATTTTGTCTGCATGGATGCTTAGCCTGCATGAATGTCTGTGTACCAGTGGATGCCTGGTGCCCACTGAGGGCAGAAGGCGGCAACCAGATCCCCTGGAACTAGTTACAGATGGTTGTGAGACACCATATGGGTGCTGGGAATTGAATCTGGTTCCTCTAAAAGAGCAGCAGGTGCTCTTAACCCCTGTACCATCTTTCCAGCCCCTCCACTCTTTCCTTGAGGCATGATCTTATAACACCGGGATCTCACTGATTTGGCTAGACTGCTTGGCCAGTGAGCCCCAGGAACCCTAATGGCTTCATTTCTCTACTGCAGGTATATGTGGCATCATGTCCAGCTTCTTTTCTTTTTTAAAACATGGATTCTGACTGCCTGGGTGGCGGTGTACACCTTTAATCCCAGCACTCAGGAAGCAGAGGCAGGCCTGGTCTACAGAGCAAGCTCCAGGACAGCCAAGGCTGTTATACAGTGAAATCCTGTCCCAAAAAACCAAAAACAAAAAACCATGGATTCTGTGGGGTTGAACTTGGGTCTGCATAGCCAGCACTTTACTGATTGTGCTGTCTTCTTAGCTCTTAGCTCTGGTTTTATTGGTCACTATTATCAAAATTATAGTATTGGCTTGCTTGCATATTTATTCATTCATTCATTCATTCATTCATTCATTCATTCATTCATTGTGCTGGCTTCTACCCCAGTGCTTTCTACATGCTTGACAATTAATATACTACTCAGCCATACCCCTAGCTTAGGTTTAATTTTTCTTAGGTATAAGCTGTTTTAAAAGGCAAACTAGTACTTAGATTTATTTCCTCTTGTTAATTGCATTATTTCTATTTTATTCAAATTATTTTTCTTTTTCTCATAAGACTTTTATTTATATGATAGTGTAATAATGATTATTATGTGTTAAGAAAAGTGCTAGGTTTACAAGGTAATGTGAAGTAGTTCTTTTTCACATTTTACAGACGAAACTAAATTTAGAATGATTAATGAGCTTTTATTTTTATTTGCTTATATGTTTACTTATTTAATTTTTTTTAAGATAGATTCTGCCTCAGCCTCCTGAGTGCTAGGATTTAAGGCATGCTCCATCACTCCTGACAATTAATAAATTATTAAAAGACCAAATAATGAGTAGGTGTGGCCAGGATTTAAAGTTTCAAATACAAGCTTGGTCACCAAATAATTTTTTTTTTATTAATTATGTTTTCGAGAATGCTCAGAATGAATTAAACCTGTTTTTGAAGTTGTCTTTGCTATTCTGGTTGTATCTTATAGTTACACTGACATGCAGTGTTTGCTTTTATTTTTGACTTAACTATTAATAAGAACGTTGTTTTTATTTTGAAGTATTTGATGCAAAATTTTCCTTGTTTTATTTCATTCTTCATTGAACCTGACAGTTACATTTAGATTTTTCTTTGGTCATGCTTTGGATGGCTACCACCCAGGCTTTTGTGCATGAGAAGCATGTGTTCCACCACTGAGCCTCATCTCCATTCCTAAAGTGTATTTTGTGCTTCTGAGAAAAGTCCTTCATAAGATTAAAAAAGAAAAAATGCTTGTTTGTGCAATGTGGAGCTCAGTATGTCCTGAGGCTGTTTTCTGATAACACTGTACAGTTACGTTTTGAGAATCTGTCTTCTAGTCTTGTATATTGATAGTTATGGATTACAATTTTCTGCAGTTGCAGTTTTCTTGTTTCGTATTTTGGCTTGATGCATTTTGATGTACAAATTTAACATTGTGTTAGTAATTATAGTATGTTATATATGTATTTATTGGCAAAATGATTTGCTGTTAAGCAAACTTGAAAACTTCTGGGAGAAAGGAAATAATACTTAAAGCTGGTATACTTTAACATCATGCTACTCTTTGACATATCTTTTCATTTAATCTTGTGGCTTGTGTGGGGGACCAGCCCCCACACTTATTTACCCCAGGAACTCTTGAGGATTGAGGGGTAAGAGACTTAGTTAGAAATAGAGGAGAGAGAACAGACAAAAAACACAGGTTAGACTCGGGTGGGCCTGGATCCTTATCCACGGGCCCAGAACTTTATTACAAAGGTCTGTTTATAACAATGCCAAGGGGTGGAGCAAAAAACCTCCCCCTTGCTAGTTACAGTCACCTAGTTGCTAAGTAGAATTCTGTTATAGTTAACTTTTTTGGTTCAGTGTTATTAGAATAGCAAAAAGTTAATACCTGACCAAATCTGATGTAAATAGCAGGGCTGTGGAACAACTTCAGCTTTCTTATTCTACTGGCAGGAGTATAAATTATCATCATTTCAGAAACTACTTGGAAGTATCTGCTTAAACTGGGCATGTGCATAATAACCTCGGGACCAAACACTTCTAGTCTTGGATTTATACCAAACAAAAATAAGCACATATGTCTTTCAAAGGGCATGTCTAAATATATTCATGTCAACACTATACTTAGTCATCAAAACTGCAGTTTTCACTAACATGTGCTTTGAGGCTTCAGTGCAGATTTTAGAAATAATATAGATGCAGCCCTCTACAATAATTAAAATGTTCAATCTTAGGTGAGATTAAAAACAAATAATTGAGTTTTCTTCTTTCTTAGTACATAATATATTGGAGTAAGACCGAGGCTATTTATCATAAATGTGCATATTTTCCTTTTTTTCCATAGGAATTGTTGATGTGTTAATTTCCACTTTTGTTCCTTTCCCACTAATAGGGAAGGAGGAAGGTTGTTATTTTTGACTTTAAATCTTTTTTTGTTTGTTTTGTTTTGTTTTTTTCCAGACAGGGTGTCTCTCTGTATGGCTCTGGCTGTTCTGGAATTCACTCTGTAGACCAGGCTGGCCTCGAACTCGTAGAGATCTGCCTGCTTCTGCCTCCTGAATGCTGGGATTAAAGTTGTGCACCACTACCACCCAGCTTTTACTTGAATTCTTTGATGGTATCAGATGATTTTCAGGATAAAGTAAACATACTTCAGTGTTTTGTTAAATTCTATTATAATCCAGACCCTGCTTTTATGAATTCTTACCATTCTGGGCTTTAGCCAGATATAATTTACCATATTTTTTTATACCCTTGTTCCCTTTTAAAACTGATTTTCTGCTTGAAATTCATCTGATCCCCAGAACTCAGTGTGAGAAGTACTTCTTCATTTGACAGATCAACCATATCTAGAAACAGTAGAATCTTACGTATTCTTGGTATCTTGCAAAATTCAGATACTGTGTTTCTGGTTCTGATACATACCTTTCTAAGATACCAACTTTATAGTCCTTAAAAGAATGAAGTAGCTACTTTTCACTAAAATAAGTAATGTCTAAGAAATTAATTTATTTTTAAGATATGATTGATAACTTCAGTTTTTCTGTCTTTGCTTTAGGTAATGGAACTGCTGGTCCATCTGAACAAACGTATAAAAAGCCGCCCCAAAATACAACTCCCAGTAGAGACATTATTGGTTCAGTACCAGGACCCTGCTGCAGTTTCCTTTGTCACGGTGAGAGTTATTTTGGCCTGTTATTTTTTGTTTTGACTTATAGTAAGTTTTCTTAATGTTTAGTTGATGCCATCAATGTATATTGCCAAGCTTAGAATTTCATTCTTAGACCATATCTAACTGAAACATTTTTTCTTTAAATGGCATGCTGTTTTTTCATGGAGTACTGATTCACAGGTAATACTGCTTCAGAGAAAATTATAGGAACATTGGTAATGGATGTCAATTTACATTGGGTAAATAAATGTTGTTGAAATGACTGTCCTGAACAAGTTAATCCATAGAAATTATGAGTAGAGTAGGGGCTATTAGAAGTTGGGAAAAAGTTAATTACTAGGTACTAAGTTAGGGAACAGGAACTTCTGCTGTGCTGTTGCCTGGTTAGGGTGACTATAGATGACAGTCTGATACTTTACATTAAACAGCTCGAGGTACCCAGTGTGGTGGTGGGACCTGTAGTTCCAGTGACATGTTAGGTAGAGGCAAGAGTATTGCTTGAGCTCAGAAATTCAAGACCAGACTGAGCAACATAATGGGATGTTCTTTTTGAAAAAAAGAAACAACAAAAAAACTCACAGAAATCTAGAAAAAAAGGCATTTCAAGGTTTTGCCTTAATGAAATGATTGATATTTAAGTATATGTTTAACCTAATGGAAATATTATATAATGTATACATATATTAAATGTCACATAGTACTCTATAATATGTATAATTTAAAATTTTTTTTTATGGTACTGGGGATAAAATCCAGGGCCTTTTGCATGTAACACAAGCATTCTTCTTAGCTATTTCCCCAGCCCAATACATATAATTTTTGTTTTTATGTAAATAATAGTGATTTGATTCTTAGTAGAAGAGACAAATCTGAATAGAGAGAAGGGTTACAGCACATAGGCATGCTAAAGTAATACTGTTTCTGATGTGTGTATTCAAAAGATACCCTTTCTGTAGTGGAGTAAACCTGAGACTGGCAAGTATCCTCTTCATGAAAACAGAATGTAAGAAATGTTGATGTTACATGAAGACAGTGTTGTCCTGTGTGTGTGTGTGTGTGTGTGTGTGTGTGTGTGTGTGTGTGTGTCCCGTCCTTGTGAATTTTAACAATGGGGCAAATTTTACTAAATTGTTTTATCAGGAGTCACAAAGGTGTTGTAGCTATTTTTGACATACAGTTCCATTACAGGTAATAGCTTTCTTTTAAGCCAATATAAGCATTGAGGCCCATAACTATGCCAAATAGAAGGCCTTATGAAGCCTGTTCATTTTTGTGATGAATCCTTCAGATAAACAGCTGTATCTTATGTGTAAATATGGATTTATGTCATGGGCTTGCTGTACGGTTGTGAATTTTGCATGGGTTATAGCGCTATTGATAACATCTGCAGCACTCAGCTTCCCTGGCTTATCTGTTGTCCATTGCTAATTTGTTACTGAGGGACCAGAGTGCTGCAGTTTCCAAAGATGGTTTTATTAACTGACCAGCTGAGAAATGGAAGTCTGGGATTTGTTAACGTGTGTCTAGGATTAATACAGCAGTCTAGAAGATCTGATGGTAATGTAGATTTGATGATTTTTTTTTTCTTCCAGGTATTAGTATTTCACATGTGACTACTTTAGGTTAAGTCACATTTCTTGTATAAAAAGCCCACTTTAAAACAGTTCGAATAAATTGTGCTTGATTAAGCCGTAATAAACTGTGGAGAGGATGATTCTTGCAATGTTTTTGTTATAACTTCTTATAATCATAATTTTTCCTTTCATACTCACTTGCTTTTCTCTTACTACATTAGAATTTCACTATAATTTATGTTAAGATGGGCTATCCTCGCCTGCCAGTGGAAAAACAATGTGAATTGGCCCCTACACTTCTTACTGCCATGGAAGGGAAACCTCAGCCACAGCAGGATAGGTATGGCTTCCTCATTTACCTCTTTCCCATCTGCAAGAGACAACAATTAATTGCCTTTCAAGTACAGGTCATGTTTGGTTTCACTTGGCAAATGGAAAGGCTTGAGCTCATTTAGCTGAAAGATAGTTGAATTTTCTGTTATCTTTTAGTTATTGTTTTATTAATAGCATTATTATTATTATTATTTTTTTTTTGAGACAGGGTTTCTCTGTGTAGCTTTGCGCCTTTCCTGGGACTCACTTGGTAGCCCAGGCTGGCCTCGAACTCACAGAGATCCACCTGGCTCTGCCTCCCGAGTGCTGGGATTAAAGGCGTGCGCCACCACCGCCTGGCTATTAATAGCATTATAAAAGTTCTTGATGTGAACATTGAAAAATGGATAGAACTAATGACACTTTTCTAAATCTAACTGCTTCAGTTTTTGTCATTTTTTTAAAAAAGTGGTTAATTTTTGTGATGTTAAAAATTTTTTTAATTGAGTCTGGAGAGATGGCTCAGTGGTTAAGAACATTGGCTGCTTTTGCAGAGGCCCCAGGTTCAATTCCTATCACCCACATGGTGGCTCACAGCCATTTGTTAGTTCTAGTTCCAGCGGATCCAGCACCCTTTTCTGGCCTCTGGGCACTAGGTTATCCTTGTGTTGTACAGACGTACATGTAGGCGAAATACCCATATATTCATTAAATAATTAAAATAATAAATATTTTTAATCAAAACATTTGTCTTGAAGGATAAAACATTTCTTAGCAATTTTTGGAGACAATATAGTATTATTAATATAATATATTAATATAGACACTGGAAAAGTGGAAGGACTTAGATGACATCATTTGTGAGCTTAGTGAAAAGATCTGTATCTCAGACCTGCCAATGCAAAAGATGTTTCCAATTCTGATTTACTTACTAATTGATCAATCAGTTGGTTGATTATGGTGCTGGGGATCAAATCTAGGGCTTCACCCTGTACAAAAGACTACAGGTTTTTATAAGGAAAATTAGTAATTAAAATTAAATTTTTATTGAAAGGACATGTTGGACTTTACTTTTATCAAAAATTTAACATGAAATACCTTTTGGTAACATCAAGTCTGTTTTATATATAGTTTTCTAGATTTTTAAAGTGATGAACCATATTGGCTAAATGCTAATTTTCACTTAATACTTTGAGGGTTTTTTTTTTTTTTTTTTAAATTTTTAAAACAAGTTTTCTTTGTGTAGTCCTGGCTGTCCTGGAACTTGCTCTGTAGACCCGGCTGGCATTGAACTTAGAAATCCACCTGCCTCTTGCCCCCCCGGGTGCTGGGATTAGGAAATCAAGACCACTCCTAAATTAGGATTTTGTATATAATTAGTATCAAAAATGAATAACTCCTGATATAATTGCCAACTTTTATTAAGTGTTCTTTGCTCTGTTATTTCCATGTATAAAAATTGATTTATAAAGTAGCTTCAATAAATGTAATTTTTCTTTCAGCTTAATGCATCTTTTAATACCAACCCTTTTTCACATGAAATACCCAGCTGAATCATCAAAATTAGCTTCTCCTTTTAATCTTGCTGAGAAACCAAAGACTGTGCAGCTGCTTTTGGACTTTATGCTAGATGTCCTTCTGATGCCTTATGGGTAAGTTAAAAAAGACAGACAAAGCCAAGCAATGTCGTTTTTCACTGAGTTTACTATATGGAAATTATGTGCCATTTAAAATGATTCAGCTCACTTGTGAATGGATGCATGTCTGAGGACTCTCATCAGTCTTAAATGCTAAGGTCCACACTACATATTGACTGTGTAGATATAGAGCTCCTGTTGTGATTTCAGACTTCACCTGTCCCAGGCTGAAATAAATGTTCTGTTGAGTCTCCTAACACCTTGTACTCTTAGGAAATCACATCCAGCTTTTCTTTTCATAGTTTCCTTTCTTCTTGGTGTCTTGAAATCTCTTTGCACTGCTACCATAAAGTTTTTTGTTCTCACCTCTTTGTTTTCTAACTCAGTTTTTTTAGTTAGTGTACAAAATAGTGGGCTTCACTGTGATCTATGTTATACATATATATAAACACACACACACACACACACACACACACACACACACATATATATATCTCATTGTACTTAGTTATCCCTATCATGTCTTCAAACTTCTCTACAATGCTGTAGAGCTGCCTGATTTTTAGCATAGTTGTAACTGAAGTTTTCTCTGGTCCTGCCCAGCCCCACAGACCCCACAGCCACTTATAAAATAATCACTCAGAAGCTTATATTAATTAAAATTGTTCAGCCATTAGATCAGACTTATTATTGACTAACTCTTACACTTAAATTAACCCATAATTCTTATTTATGTTTAGCCACATGGCTTGGTACCTTTTCTTAGTTCTGCCTTCATATCTTGCTTCCTCTGTGTCTGGTTGGCGACTCCTGACTCAGCCTTCCTCTTTCCAGAATTCTCCTTGTCTGTTTATCCACCTATACTTCCTGCCTGGCTACTGGCCAATCAGCATTTTATTTATCAACCAATGGGAACAAGACATTCACAGTACGCAGAGCACCATCACCCATCACATAGTTCTTAATCAAAGCACATCTTACAACCGTGGTTTCTCACTAGCCAGTCATACTCCCCTATAAATTAGGTTCATACTCCCCTACAAATAATTGTCATGTTATTCCTTAAGGCATTGCAGTTACTTCTCACTTTAGGGTATTTCTCCACAGAAAAAAATAACAACAGAGTCACTTTGGAAAATATCTCCTACTAGCTTGATATCAACTCTGTCTCTGACAGACATTTTTCATTCTATGTATGTAAAAGGAAGTTTTTGTTCCTACCGCCTGTTCCTAAATAACCACTCTGAGGCTTATGTTAATTGTAAATCATCGGCCAGTAGCTTAGGATTATTACTAACTAGCTCTTACATCTTAAGTTAACCCATATTCCTTATTTATGCTCTGTCACATGGTGGTGCCTTTATTAGCATGGCACATTCATCTTCTGCTCCCTCTGTGTCTGGCTGGTGACTTCACACTCCGCTCTTCTTCCCATCATTCTTAGTTTGGTCGCCTCATGTATACTTCCTGCCTAGATACTGGCCAATCAGTGTTTTATTAAGCCAATTTGAGTGACAAATCTTTCCTGTGTACAAGAGGAGTATTCCACAGCATATGTAGATATATTTGCTCTATTTTCTATGTATTCATAACCCCCAAGAACCACCTGTATACTACTTTGTGTTTTTATCACATTGTTGACATCTTCATTTTTCTTAATAGATTGTCAGCCCCTTTCAGTCAAGATGTGTTTTATCAAACTTTGGAATCTGGCCTACTTTCCGGATTGTGGTCTGCTACTAGCCTACTGATTTTGTCCGGTTGCCTGAGATAGTTTTCTAAAGTGCTACTTCCATACCATTTTCCCTGGTCTTGAGTGTCTATGTACATAGAGGGCCAGGCAAATGGAGCTGCACATCATCTGGCCTCAGTGCAGAAACAGGAGGGTTCAGGGTGTATTATTATTTCTCTTCCAGTTTGCTCTTTTTCAGCTCCTTTAGTTTAGTAGCTTGATGGGCCTTGACAGCAGGCATGAAGCTAAAAGAGTGAACTAGTAGTGGGGTAAGAATATAAACTGTTAAATCTCACCCCCAGCGACACTCCCTCCAGCAGAACTGCACCTTATTGTTATGGGGATATAATCTCCCCCAGAAGTGCCAATACCTGGGAACCAAGTATGAGTTCATTGAGACATTCTCATTCAAACTACCACAGCTTCCAAGTGTTTCCTTTATTTATAATGAGAATTTTAATATCATTATGATCAGATTTATCATTATAGAATTATACTGATTAAAGGGATTTTTAACTAATAGTTATATCAAAATTTATTTTGATTGTGAGGAATACTAGTTTTAACTGGATTAAAATGAATTTATTAGAGATCTTATTTCTACTTTCTACAAGCCAAATTAAATAAGAGAATAATAACAAGGAGATACATACAAAGAGTTTTGAATATATAATGGGAAAATTCTAATTTTTTTCTGACTTTTCCTACTTTTAAAACTTTATTATTATTATTATTTGTATGTTTCTATGGGTATGATGTGTGTGGAGGTCAGAGGGCAGTTTTTCTGAGGGAGTTGGTTCTCCTTTCTACCTTTAATGGGTTTCAGGACTCAAATTCAGGTTGTCAGGCTTGAGTGGGAAGTGCCTTTACATTGAGCCCTCTTGCTGGCCCTTAACCTTTTCTCTTGGACCCTTTCACTTTGTTTTGAACTTTTAGAATGTTATGTATTTGTATGTTGGCAATGTGTCAGAGGCTTCGGTGAGGTTTCTGATGTGAGTTACAAAGAAAGGAGATTAACTGTAAAAGCTCTATTTGGGGCCTAGAACACTAGTGACCATACGCCTTGTGTGGTCAACAAACTTGTGTCTGTCTGTCAGTTAAAAGTCAAAATGTAATGAGTCTCTACTAACTGATCAAACAAGAGTGTGTTTATGCATATGGAAATGGCACAGATATTTTGTACTCACTATTGTTAAGTGTTGTAATTCATTTATAACTGCCTTGAGTGATAGGTTCTTCTGATTCATTTTACTGAGGATGTAGATATCTTTTATTAAGATACCTTTAAGATTCTTTATGTTACTGGGCAGTGGTGGTACTCAGGAGGCAGAGGCAGGTGGATCTTTGAGTTTGAGATCAGCCTGGTCTATGGAGCAAGTTCCAGGACCGCCAACACAGAGAAACCTTGTCTCAAAAAACAAGCAATAAAGATCTTTATGTTGAAATTTTTATTTTAGTTATTCTTCTAGCACAGTGCTTCTCAACCTTCCTGATGCTGTGACCCTTTCATACAGTTCCTCATGTTGTAGTGACCCCAAGCATAAAATTATTTCACTTCATAGATGTAATTTTGCTTCTGTTATGAATCGTAATATAAATGTCTGTGTTTCCCTATGGTCTTAGGCAGCCCTTGTGAAAGGGTCATTTGACCCCTAAAGGGGTCGTGACCCATAGTTTGAGAATCGCTGTTCTGTCATATACTACTGTACAAGGACAGCATGTGATTGACTATTTTATGTATATATGTGTATATACACAAATTCACGTTTTTATAGAGAGTTAAAGTTTTATTTCTTTTCCAGATATGTGTTAAATGAATCCCAGAGTCGCCAAAATTCATCTTCATCACAGGGTTCTTCTTCAAACAGTGGGGGAGGTTCTGGAATCCCACAGCCTCCCCCAGGAATGAGCTTTTATGCAGCTAAACGAGTTATTGGTGATAACCCATGGACACCTGAACAGTTGGAACAGGTATCACACAGTGCTCATCATGGGAGTTGGCCTTGAACACTTGCCCCTATGAAGTTCATGGAAGCATGTGCAGTATAATTCCTGTATATTCAGGTTCTTTAAAGACTATGTTTGAAAGGAGCAAGTGATGTAAAATGTTCTTTTCCTCTGCCAGTTTTTTGTTAAAGTTCTAGGGAAAAGGGAGGAGTGGGAAATGATCTTATGTCTTTCAAACATTGCTCACATCTTTCAAGTATTATGCACAACCCATTTTTATATTGAGCAGATTTAGTTTTCTATCATTTCAATTTATAATTATAGGTCTTAATAATTACTTAGCTCCTTTGATGCAGTTAAATTACAATTTACCTTTCATTATTCAATTTTTAGGGCTGTACATTTTGTGTAAAGTGAGGAACCTCTGTACTTCACAAGTGACAATGTGGGGAAAAGCATGACTCCCTTTTATATTTCTTCTTGGGGTTTTAAAAATTGGCATTAAGAATTTTATTCTGGATTTAAACAGGACACAGATGTTCTCTGAGCAGCTTTTAAAAATGACTGGTGCTCTACAGAGAAGGTGCCTCCCTGTGTCTGTCATCAGGCACCTCAGGGAAGAACAGAAATCAGTATGTAATTATTTTGGAATTCAAGCAACATGGGTTAGTCTTCCAATCCTTCCTTTATTTCTCCATAGCAGTCTCAATGATTTGATCCTTTTCTTTTTGGGATTGTAAGTGACCATTGATCAAAAGTGTTCCCAGGAGAGGGAAAACGAAGCAAGGGGGGCATTCTTGCCACTCACAAATTTAAGAGTGTTACGTTCAATGAGGATTATAATTGATCAGATTTACTTCATGCTTGTACATCTTCTATTTTCCCTCCTTAAACCATAGTGTGAGGAAGATAAATAGAAGAGAAGCCACTCTATTGAGTGTGGCCTGTGGCAGGCTCTATACTGGGTACTTTGAGGACATTATCTCATTTAATCCTCACAGCAACTAATGAGGTAGTGAAATTGAGCTCCTTTTCTAAAAGGCACTGAGGTTTTGAGATTCACCAGGGTCTCATTTCTGTTCCTAGACTTTGAACTTAGTTTTTTCTGAGGCTTAAAGCTGTACTTATTGTTACTATTCACTTATAGTCTTAAGTTGGTCATTGTTTGCTCTATTTAAAGGTCTCTGTATGTGTTTTGTCTGTTTCATAATCTGTTGCTAAAATGAATAGTTTAGTTTAAAAATAAAAACTTCTTATTTTCGAATACTTTTTCTTCCAAATTAATGAACTTTTTTTTTTTTTATAATTATAAAGGTAAAGGTTTAAGTAGTTAGGAATAGAATTGAGGGGTGATGGATACATAGCTTAGTTGATAAGAGTACTTACCTATGTGCATGAAGCCATGGTTGAATCTTGGCACTCCATAACCAGGCTGTTATGGCAAAGAGGATCAAGGTGTTCAAAGTCATCCTTGGCCACATAGTTCATTTGAGACCCTGTCTCGAAAACAAAAAACAAACAGAAACCCCACAGTACTGCTCAGTGACAGAGTGCCTAGCAGGCAGACTTAGGGCCAGGACTTCAATCCACAGCACCTCAAGGAACAGTGTAGCAAAAAGTTAGCTATGCTTTATGCTTGGGCCCGGTTCTCTCTCTCTCTCTCTCTCTCTCTCTCTCTCTCTCTCTCTCTCTCTCTCTCTCTCTCTCTCTTTCCCCCTCCCTCCCTCCCTCTCCCCATCTCTCCCTCTCTCTCTTCCCCTCTTCCCCTTTCTTCTTCCCTCCCCCTCTCCCCCCCTATTTCTCAAGTGTGTATGTTTTTATGTGTGTATGAACAGTTTTTACATAATACATTTTGACTTGTCACAATAGTTTAGTCTTTTTACCAGTCTTTGGGGATTTAAAAAAAATCTGTACTTTTAATATTTGTATAAAATTTAATCATGATGAGCTCTATCATTTTCAGTTTTCTTTATACATTTTTTGTCATGCATTGTGTATTTGACTTCTGTAACCATCCCTTTGCAATTTATGTTAATGATTCCTTCTCTTTTCAAACAGTATCTCTTCTAAGAAAGTTACGTTGAGCAGGGAGGAGAGGTGGCCTTTTTGTGACCAGTTGTACTTTTTTTTAAATTGGCATTCTTTCTTGTTCAATTTTTAGAAATTCCTTCCTTCTTTAATATATATTTTATCATTCCTAATTTGTATAACCGAGACCTATTAAGTAACTGGTTTTAAAGTGAAGATATAATTTTGTTTTTCAGGTGTATTTGTCCCAGAATGATTTGTAGTGAAATTCATAGCTCTTCACATTTCAGGAAATTCTTCTTAGACTCTTTATTGCATTTCATTGAGCTTGTTAGGTTAGGCACTACTGTTGGATTAGAGTTGCACTCGGATTGACTAGAGTGGGTTTGAAATCATTTTTTCTGTTTTTAGAATCTTAAGAAAGTAGAGGACAAGAATGTATATCTTAAAAATAGAGTAAAACTCTGGAAGGTGAGGTATTCATAGGTTTTTTTTTTTCTCACAAACATCTGTAGAGCACTTTGTTCTTAATGTTGCATCACCTTTACCTGGAAGCTGCAGATGGAGACTTAAGTCTTCACAGTCTAGGAAGGTTGTGTAACCCCACTAGGGAGACTGTTACCATTGTTTTGTTGTCAGAGACTTGTCTCTGAAGCCTGCCTCTATCACTTACTGTGTGTTCTAATATCTTAAGCCTTGCCTCAGTTTCGTCACCTAAAAATGTCTGTGATAGTATCTACCTCATAGACTGTGAGGGTTAACTGAAATCATGAATAGCTATGATTTAGCACAGTGTCTGGCACATTACAAGCCTAAGTAGGAGCTCCTCCTGTTGATTTAACCCATGGCTTATGGCCATGTTGGTATGTTAAACAGTATTTTTAGTGAGTGTTGTTTCCCTGACCACTCTTTCTCTTTCCCTTCACTCATCTACAGTGCAAATTGGGCATAGTGAAATTTATAGAAGCTGAGCAGGTGCCTGAACTCGAAGCTGTTCTCCACCTGGTGATTGCTTCTAGTGACACACGCCATAGTGTGGCAACAGCGGCAGACCTGGAATTGAAAAGCAAGCAGAGGTAATTACTTCCTTGTTAAGCTTTCAAAGTCAAAAGGCCAGATTTCTTAAAGCTTTGCAGGGTTTTATGGAATGAGGTATTCAGCTCAGGAAACTAAGACACATACTTAGTTTATAAGTAAATAAAGTTTACCAAAGAGCAAAATTTTGTGTCAGAGAAAAAAAACTATTTGAAAATGCATTTCAAAGCTGAAGTAGGTTGGAAATGCCATCATGAGAAGTGAAACGTTTGGCTAGGCAAATAAACTAAAAGTTAATATTAAAAATATTAGACCCAAGAAGTAGTTAATTTTTAATTCTTCTGTCTCAAACCAGTTAAGATCACCTTTAATAATGAATGTATATGTATTGTGGTTACTGTTGGTAGAAACCAGGTTCATGGAAAGAGTTGCTGAGTAAAGCTTAAATTTACATCGAAAAGAGATACAAATAGTAGATAGACTTAGAGAAATACTCTGTATGAAATAACAAGCAATGGAAAATGAACAGTGAACTACCAGTTTATACCTGTAGTTAAATAACAGGTGTATAGCTGTTGGTAAATCCATGTAAGTTTCTGCAGAATTGCTGGATCTCATGCCCTGTTTGAGCAGTGAATCATGAAAAAAAAAATTATACACAGTAAATCTGGGAATTCGTCCTCTACTATCATTCAAAAGAAGAAAAATATATTTAGAAATGGTATAAATTTAGTCATTATGTCATGTCCTATAGTTATTGAAAAATAAAAACAAATTGAATTTTCCACAATAGGGATAGATTACTGTATAGACTATTGTGTTTCTTTCAAAATTATAAAAATGATATATCAACATACAAAGTGCTCCTCAAGTAATAGCAAATAAAGTAGAATACAAAATGACATAATATTCTAATTATAAAATTTAAAATGATAAATACATAGATTGAAGAATAACTTAAAATGAATCTATTTGGTTAAAAAATAAAATCAAGCTAGATAATAGTGGCTTGTGCTTATAATCTCAGCACTTGGGAGGCAGGAGCAAGAGGATCATAAGTTCAAAGTTAGCTTTTGCTACACAGTGAGATCCTGTATATATATTTACAATTCATATAATGAGGTTTTAGTAATTGATTTATGAATTTTGAGATGGTCTTGTTATATAGCTTACGCTGTCCTTAGACTCCCTGACCCTGTGCCTCTGCCTACTGAGGATTTTAGGTGTGTGGTATCATGTCCAGAAGGCTGAATGATAACATTTTGTTCAAATAATGTTACCAGACAGAAAAATATGGAAAGTGCCATAAAGCTTTTATAAATGTTGTATAATTTTACTTTGCTCTCTCCTAAGAAGACCAGTGCAACGAGGTGTAATAAAATAAGTTAATGAACTCCACAGGCCTTAGTTTATTTCTTGTTGAAATGTTTGGGTGGGTAATGGTGGCTGCAAGTAGTCTACCACTAAAGGGCGTGTGTGGTGGTACATAGCAGGGCTCCTTAAGCTTTCTTTCGTGATCCTTTTTGAGTTTTTTTTATATGACTGAGTATAGTACATGAATAGATTTGCAAATCAGACATTTGCTGGTAATAAATCATAAACTTATCTTCAAATAATTTTTGCTATACATACAATTTTTCCATTACGAAGAAAGCAAATTTTTCTATTAATAAAATGGATGTGCTTGTTCATTCTTACACAGAGAATTAAATCTTGGCTGAATATTTGATACTTAGGACAGATTCTCTTTAGCCTGCTTCAGGGTTGATTCTTTTTTGATTTTTACAGTGGTTACTGCTAGGAACACGGCTTTACATACATACTCAGTACAGAAGGCAGAAGTAAGTTTAAGGCATTTAGGAATTATTGGAAATTCTGTCCTAATCCCCAACCCCAATTTACCAAGTTTTAATCAAATATTCTAACATGATATAATTCAAAGATAGACTCATTTGATTTTGCATGCTGAGGAATGATGGTAGGAAAATAATAGAAGTTTTATTTTCTGTATTTCAGCTACTTTCTATAAGAGATGGAATGAACAGTAAGAACAGTGAAATTTATAACATATGCCGGTCTTTAATATGAGGCAAGGGGTTTCTGTCAGTGTTTACTTTGCTGTATGGACTGACACCGTGTACAGTGCAAAGTCTGCACGTTGAGCATTCAGAGCAAAGGCTGCAGGGAAGCTGCACGATGCAACCTGAGTTAATCCTGCCAGAAACACTATCGATTCATTACATCCATGATTAGAAACTTTACTGTTCTTTCTTTTAATTTGGAGCTGAGGACCGAACCCAGGACCTTGTGCTTGCTAGGCAAGCACTCTACCACTGAGCTAAATCCCCAACCCCTTAAACTTTACTGCTCTTAAATTTGTTATGACTCCATATTTAGTAATGTGATCCCATATGGGAGTCTTGACCCATAGTTTAAGGAGAGGGACATGGAGGAAGTGATAGTCACAATCTTATTTTTTCATGTCTTTTACTGATTGAGTTTGAGAGCCAAACTTAACCTTGACAGACTAGAGTGAGAAAATTGGACTACTTTTTTTTCTAACATTCTTTCAAGTCTTAAGTGGTTTTTTTTTTTTTTTTTTTTATTGTTCATGACTTAGAATATTTCAAGGATTTAGTTTTGGAGTGTTAAAAAAATTGTTCTTTCATAACATTTCATTAAGTTTGAACTGGCCCCATTCTGTATAACATATTGTAGATTTGATTGTTGGAAGTACAATCTTAGATATATTTAATTTTGTTTTTAGGATAAAAAATGAGTATACCATAAAATTGCATTAAGTGCTTAAAAACTATAGGGAAAACACATAGGTAACCATTTTGTGAAAGAAAAAGCTCAAAGTATTTCTACAAGTATTGTTTCCATTGTTCCTTTTCTAACTGCCAGCTGTACTGTCAACCTGTTAGAGTCTGGAAAAGTTACAGTAAAGTCAGTGGCTGTCATATTGAAAAGAAATGATATGGTCCAATGTGGACACTTTACAACAGATACATAGTCAGAAAAGTAACCCTGAAAAAAGAGTAGTAGTACAGTAAGATTAAAGGAGCAGTGAAAAATTCCGCACTGCTTAATCACAACTAGGCCTTTAGTCTGCTTTCCTAAACTATTTGTTTTGCTGAAATTTTCAAAACCTTAAGTTTTATAAAAGGGAAATAGTGGTTGAATTTGATTAATTAGCCTCAAGCAGCTGAGAAAAGATGTAGGTGAATAGTACTAAAATTGAAATGTATAATGCCTTGGAGAATGGTGGCATTGTGGCATAGGTTGATGAGGTATGGTTAAAAAAAAACATCAAAAATGGAGTTGAGCAGTATAGCAAATTCTTTTTACATGAAAACCTTGTAAGTTGAAAGCAGAACCAGTGTTCAAAGTCAGAGAGGCAATAGCGTGGGAGAACTTCAGCAATCAAAGATTTTGTTAGTACTGGGTTTATAGACTGAGTGACTGTGTCCCACTGTGGTGGTGATGGTGATGGGGTAGATAGTTACCTTTTATCTAATCACTGTAGCCCAACTAGGAATGAGGCTCTGTGACAAATAGCATCGTGACTTCTCAGGTTTAGGTATTGAAGCTAATAGGCTAGATAAGAATTGTATGATGCCAGGAATCAAATAACAGTATTGGAGAAATACAATAGGTTACAAATTTTCTAGGGTATGATTTTTTGAAGCATAAAACTATTTTTGTTATTTATCATTTTTAAGTCATGAATGGTTAAACAGAAGCATCAACTACTGACCCAGAGCTTTTAGTACAAGTGTAGTATATGTCTATTCTGCTGAGCTGCTCCATAGCCCTGGCCCTGACCCACCTGTGTAGGAGGAACTTTGTCCAGTTTATAATTTCTCCTGTGGTGCCAAGTTGGGCCATTGGCTACAGTAATCTGTTGGATCAAAATGGAAGACCTGGAATGAGTGATTTGTAGTTTTTTTTTTTTTTGGTTTTTCAAGACAGGGTTTCTCTGTGTAGCTTTGCGCCTTTCCTGGAACTCACTTGGCAGTCCAGGCTGGCCTCGAACTCACAGAGATCCACCTGCCTCTGCCTCCCGAGTGCTGGGATTAAAGGCGTGAGCCACCACCGCCCAGCGATTTGTAGTTTTTAAAGCTAATTTTGACAGTCCCCTTCATTTCTACTCTTCCATAGTATCAGTTGTCCATTCTATTTGTGTGTTTCTGACATTTTTCTCTGATAACAAATATTAGGGTTTTTAAATCATTGAAATGGGGACAAAAATAATTTTAACCATCTCTGTTGAAACCTCCCATAGTTTAATTGACTGGAATAATCCTGCCATCATTAATAAGATGTACAAAGTATACCTTGGGGATATACCACTGAAGACAAAAGAGGTAAGTTGCTTTGATTTAGTCTCAAGTCTCATACCAGCATAACATTGTGTTGACATCAACTGTATTTTCCCCCTACTTAATTTGTTAGCTAAATCCATGTTTTATGAAATACTAGCTTTAAGCCATGTTTGTCTATGTGAATTCTACTCCTGAATGGTGAGTTTAGTAGATCTGGTATTTTCAGAGATAAATATTGAAAGGAATACCTTTAAAAATATGGATTGGGAATATTTTATGTTGAAACATTTGCTGAACTCAGTAAGGCAGTATTTTCCAGATGACCAGTGATGTCACAAAAGCACAACCTAAGGACCCCATCCAAACTGTAAGGTAGACAGTGGAGTTTTATTTAACAGCATCTGCAGGAGCTCAGCAATTTGGCTTAAACTCCAAATTATAACTAAGCTTTAGGAAACCATTTTGTATTAAGTTTTGATACAGAATCGAAGATCTACAATTACTTTTAAAAAGGGCAAAAATCATCCCTATTTTCTGACCATGTGTCTGCAAGCTGGGTTTTATTCCATCAATCAAACCAGCAATCACAGCAAATTCAATGTAGAATATGGAAAAATCTAGCTCTTTTCTAGTAAGGTGAATGCTGAAGATAACTTCCAAAAAAAATATGTAAAATGATGCTGTTCCTCAGTGCATTTAAAAAACAAAGGCCGTCTTTTAAAAGAAAAAGGTTATTTATTAAAATATATTAATTTATTGATGTTTCAGATTTTTCAGTTTTAATATTTAATGTAACAATTGCTAGTAGGTAATACTGATAGAAGTAAGAACTTTTGGAATCTTCAGTAAATAAAACAAATTTTTATTTATTTAATTTTATATGTATGAATGTTTTGCCTACATGTATGTTTGCTTCCCACAGAGGCTAGAAGTTGGTCCTGGATCCCTTGAAACTGGAGTTAATGGATGGTTGTGAGCTACCATGTGGGTGCTGGGAATCAAACCCAGGTCCTCTGTAAGAGCAACAAGTGCTTTTAACTGCTAGGCCTTCCCTCCAGTACCTAGGAATCTTCAGTAATTTTAAAGAGTAAAAACCCACAAGTAATTTTAAAATGTGTTATAATCAAACATGTTTTTCCCAGGGAGCAGTTCTAAAGCCAGAGCTGAAAAGAGACCCGGTCAGTACCAGAGTGAAGTTAAAGATTGTCCCTCATCTCCTTCGTTCTAGACAGGCTGCTGAAACATTCCCAGCTAACATTCAGGTAATCAGTGTTGTTCAAAGAGGAAAAGTGGTTTGAGCAAATAGCTTTACTTAGAGAAAAAATGGTATTAATGGATATTCAGGAAGGAGGATGATGTACATAACAAGACTAACAATTTTAAGTGTATCTGTATAAGTTACTTTGTAAAATTATATATATATATACACTTATATATATATATATTTATATATATAGCTTATGGTTTTCATTTACTTTAAATATGTGGTGGTAACTCCATCCAGACTAGTTTTTGTGATTGCCCAACATTATAAGAAACTAAACTTTTTTTCTATGTATTTGTGTGTGTGTATGTAATATTACCGTCATAATTATGTAAGTGAAAACTCAGGCAGCGAGTGGTTCTGACTTTGTCTTTACAAAGTCCTTCACTTTTCCTTTGTGCTTAAAGATGATATTAACTCACACTGTTGCTTCTTGATTTAATGACTACAGAAGTCTTCTCCTCTGTCTCCTGGCCTGTCCTCTGGCTCACATTTAGTCTGTCTTCTGTATTGACACCAAACTGTCTTTGCAGTGGGAAATACTGTGTTGGTAAAAGGTACAGGTCCTTTTTTTTTTTTTTTTTTTAAATCTTTTAACCACGTTATGACTACCTTAGCCCTCAAGGCAATTATTTGGGGAATTGTCTTAGGGTTTCTATTGCTGTGAAGAGACACCACAACCATGACAACTCTTATAAAGGAAAAACATTTAATTGAGGCTGGCTTACAGTTTCTGAGGTTTGGTCCATTATCATCATGGCAGGTGGCATGCAGGCAGGCATGGTGCTGGAGAAGAAGCTGAAAGTTCTACATCTTGATCCACAGGCAACAGGAGGTGAACTGTGTTTCACAGTGGGCGTAGCTTAAGCATAGGAGACATCAAAGCCTGCCTCCCCACTATAGGATACTTCCTCACACAAAACCCACCTCCTAATATTGCCACTCGCTATGGGGACCATTTTCTTTCAAACCACCCCAGGAATCTAATTTATTTATGTTATTTCGTCCATGTTTAAATTGTGATAAAATGTACTTGAAATTCCATCTTGATCATTTTAATATGCAGTTCACTGGCTTTAAAAAAAAGTCCCATTGTTACAATTCTGTTCATCTTGCAAAATTCAAACTCTTCTTATAAAACATTGTCATTTTTCTTATGTCTTGCCAACCACTATTCTGGTTTTCATCTCTATGAATTTGATTTCTCTAAGAACTTCCCATAAGTGAAATTATACAGTATTTGTTTTTAGTGACTTGCTTATTTCACTCAGTACCATATCATTGAGGTCTATCTGCTGTAGCATGTGTCAGAATTTCATTTTTTTCTAAGAATGGATGTCTCATTCCTCTGTTTGGATCCTTGGCATACCTTACGTTTTACCTTTCATGAATAATATTGACAGTTTCTCTGTGTCCTGGCAGCTGCTCCCAAATAACCACATTGGGACTTATTAATTATAAATGCTCAGCTAGTAACTAAGGCTTGTTACTAGCTAACTCGTACATTTTAAATTAATCCATATTTCTTACATATGCTCTGCCATGTGGCTTGGTATCTTTTCTCAGTACAACAAGTTCATTTCTTTATATCCATATCCCCTTGCAGTTCTCAGACTCCTCCTCTTCTTCAGACTCTCTTTTTGTCTGCAAGTACCACCTCATGTCTACCTACCCAGCTATTGGCCAGCCAGCTTCTTTATTAACCCAGTCACAGTGACATATATTCACAGTGTAAAGGAATTTCCCCCTTTTTGTCTAATTAAAAAGGAAGGTTGTTTTTTTTTTTTTTTGAGCTGAGGACTGAACCCAGGGCCTTGAGCTTGCTAGGCAAGTGCTCTACCAATGAACTAAATCCCCAACCCCGGAAGGTTTTAACTTTAACATACTAAAATAATATACAACAAAAAGAGTTGTCAAGTAAGAATTACAGTTACATTTGTATTTGACAAAATAGAGAAAATAATCTATCAGCTGTCTTTTCCTGTAGAGTTCAGAGTTTCGTACCTAATTTACTTTTTACCATGATTATGGAGGACTATAACTGTAACTGTCTAGTCTTCAACCCCATGAAGGACCTGAGAAGGATATAATATTACCCAAGTAAACAGGAAGTACAAAGCAAGTGACTTCCAGAACTAAGAGATGACAGAAAAAGCTGGTTGCCTGGATAGTCACCCAAAGTTCTTTTCTAATGTTGGGGCATCCATCTTTAGCCTATAGACCTAGTATATCTGACAGACATTTGAGAAGCAGAGAATTTTGAAGGACTGCCCTACCTTGTTTTGACAAAGTTTGGTGTCACTGTTTTTTGTTTTTGTTTTTTTTCCTTCCTTTCTTTCTTTCTTTCTTTCTCTCCTTTCTTTCTTTCTTTCTTTCTTTCTTTCTTTCTTTCTTTCTTTCTCTCTCTCTCTCTCTCTCTCTCTCTCTCTCTTTCTTCCTTCCTTCCTTCCTTCCTTCCTTCCTTCCTTCCTTCCTTTCTTTTTTTTTTTTTTTTTTCATCTTGCTGGTCCAGTTTGGACAGTATATTGTCAGCACTTTCTTTGCCCAAATGACTAGCTTTTGCTATAAAGAAAACAAAATCCATACAGAGTTTCTTCAATACACATTATCCTCTTTTGAAGTACATTGGTGCTGTCAAGAGCAGATGTGTCTCACTATCATGAAAAACCTTAGGTTATTAAACATATTAAATGCCATATTCTGTAGATCTTTGAAGTTTTTGAAGATATGTATCTATCTAAATACATTTGTGTATGACATTAAAAACATACTTAACATGACTCTAAGTTTGACTATTAATCTGTATTTCTTAATTTTACATTACTTTTTTTTTTTTTTTTTTACCGGAGCTGAGGACCAAACCCAGGGCCTTGTGCTTGCTAGGCAAGCGCTCTACCACTGAGCTAAATCCCCAACCCCTTGTTTTTTTGTTTTTTTTTTTTTTTGGTTTTTCGAGACAGGGTTTCTCTGTGTAGCTTTGCGCCTTTCCTGGAACTCACTTGGTAGTCCAGGCTGGCCTCGAACTCACAGAGATCCGCCTGGCTCTGCCTCCCGAGTGCTGGGATTAAAGGCGTGCGCCACCACCGCCCGGCCTTGTTTTGTTTTTTTAAGACAGGGTTTCTCTGTGTAGCTTTGCACCCTTCCTGGAACTCACTCTGTAGCCCAGGCTGGCCTTGAACTCACAGAGATCTGCCTGCCTCTGCCTCCGAGTGCTGGGATTAAAGGCTCGAGCCACCACCACCCACCCTATACATTACATTTTTAAATGAGCTGCAGAAACACAATATCCTAAACAAGAGTAGAAATATACATACAGTATAACAAAATTAACTTTAAATTTGTATCAGTATACCAAAATTCATACCAATGTAGAATACTTTAAGATTAATAGTTGTTTCTTGGATTAAAGTAGATTCAATAATCTACCTTTTCCCCCTATCATTCCTATATTATATCCCTCTTTTTTCCTTTAGAAAGAGATCTTTAAATTCAACTCTTTTGTTTACCTTTTTTTTTCTGACTATGACCAATAACAACTTGTAACCAACCCCCCTAAACAATGACAAACATTCATAATCCATTGAATAACAAAACCCCACCCATATCTCATCTTTACATCCTGACTGCAATTTCCCCTCCCTCCTCTCCTCCCAGTTCCTTCCCACCATCTCCCTCCTGCCCCCTGACATCCACACGTGCTCTGTTTCTATTCAGAAAAGGGCAGGCCTCCCATGGATACCAACCAATCATGGCATATCAAGTTGTAGTAAGATTAGGCACCTCTTCTTGTATTAAGGCTGGGCAAGGCAATCTAGTATGAGGAATAGGTTCCAAAAGCTGGCAGAAGAGTCAGAGACAGCCCTTGCTCCCACTGTTAGGAGTCCCACAAGAAGATCAATCTATACAACTGTAACATATATGCAGAGGGCCTAGGTCAGTCCCATGCAGGCTCCCTGGTTGTCAGTTCAGTCTCTGTGAACCCCGTGAGCCCAGGTTACTTGGTTCTGTGGGTTTTCTTGTGGTGCCCTTGACACCACTAGGTCCCACAATCCTTCCTCCCCTTTTCCTTGGGATTATCTGAGCAGCTCCTAATGTTTGGCTGTGGGTCTTTGAAGTGTGGATCTAATTAGTCTTAAGAAAAACCTGGAGTCAGATATTAGGGTGAAAGCTGAAAGATCAGAGAAGCAGAACAGCCAGTCACCAGAGAGTGCTTACCTCTATGAAATCTCAGACCGAATGCTGAGATCCTATCTCTACAAATCCTCAGACTGATTAGGCTGATTCTGTCTCCACTTGTTTTATATCCCTCTATCCACCTCCCTACTGCTGGGATTAAAGGCGTGAGCCTCTACTGGCACTGTTTCTCTTTTAGACTGGTTGGCCTTGAACTCCTGATCTTCCTGCTTCCTCTTCTCAAGTGCTGCGATTAAAGGTGTGTGCCACCACTGCTTAGCCTCTATGGTTAACTAGTGGCTAGCTCCGCCCTCTGATCTCCAGGCAAGTTTTGTCAGAACACAAAATACCATACAACAGGTCTTTAGATGTTTCCGTCAGTTGCTGAATGAAGCCTCTCTGATGACAAGTGGGCCAGGCTCCAATTCCTGAGTATAGCAGAATATGGTTAGACATCGTAACATTTATATATATATATTGCCAGTCATGTTTGGTTCTTTCCTAGGTCTCTGGACCATCTAGCCTCTGGGTTCTGGTACTCCAGGCAGTATCAGGGATGAGCTTCCTATTGTGGCATGGGTCTCATTCATTGGTTGGCCACTCCCACAATTTCTGTGTGATCTTTACCCCAGCACATCTTGTAGGCAGGACAGAATATAGGTTGAAGGTTATGGGCCTGGGTTGGTTTCTCAGTCCCTTCGTTGGAAGTCTTGCCTGGTTACAGGAAATGGCCAGTTCAGGCTATGAATCCCCTATTGCTAGGAGTCTTAGCTGGGGTCATCCTTATAGATTCCTGGGAATTTCCTTTGCACTAGGTTTCTACCTCAGTCGAAAATGCGCCCCCCCTTTCCAGTTGTATCTTCCAGTAATCCCCCCGTTTATCTCCCTCACCTGACTCCTCCTGTTCCTGTCCTCACCTGTCCACAGTCCACCTGTGAAATCTATTCTATTTCCCCTTCCCAGGGAGATCCATTCAACACCCCCTGAACCCTCCTTGCTATCTAGCATCTCTGGGGCTATGGATTGTAGTATGGTTATCCTATACTTTACAGCTAATGTCCACTTATAAGTGAGTACGTATCATGTTTGTCTTTCTGGGTCTGGGTAACCTCACTCAGGATTTTTTTCTATTTCCATCCATTTGCCTGCAAATTTCATGATGTCATTTTTTTTTAATTTTTAAATTTATTTTATGAACATTAGTGTTTTGCCTGCATGTATGTCTGTGTGGGGGTGTCAGATCCCCTGGAACTGGAGTTACAGATAGTTGTGAGCCACCATGTGGGTGCTGGGAATTGAACCAGGGTCCTTTAGAAGAGCAGTCAGTGCTCTTAACCTCGGAGCCATCTCTCTAGCCCAATGTCATTGTTTTTAACAACTGAGTAATACTCCATTGTGTAAATATCCTTCAGTTGAAGGACATCTAGGTTGTTTCCAGTTTCTGGCTCTTATGAATAAAACTGCTATGAATATAGTTGAGCAAGTATCCTTGTGGTATGATGGAGCATCCTTTGAATATATGCCCAAGAGTAGTATAGTTGTGTCTTGAGGTAGATCGATTCCCACTTTTCTGAGAAACTGCCATATTGATTGGAAAGATTATTCTTAATGCCTCTCTCCCCTAAATATTTATACTGTTCCTAAAGCTACTGCCAGTATTTTAACAATAACTGTGGGTTTATCAGTTAGCACTGAGTATCTGGTTTTATAATTGCTACTATGCTACTTCTACAAGAGGTATTTTAAAGCATTGGTATCAGATGTGATAGTCATAATCTTAGTGAGTTTATAATAGAAATTCTTCACATTAAAAATGAAACAGGCTGGCAAGGTGTCACAGTGTGTAAAGGTGCTTGCTGCTGAGCCTGACAATATGAGATCAGTCCCTGGAACCCACGTGGTGGAAGGAGAGACCTGACACTCAGTTGTCCTCTGATCCTCCACATGCATGCCATGGAATGCCTTTGCCCAGTAAATAAATATAAACTACTGAAAAGTGAGACAGGACAAAATACAATCCAGTGCTAGATTATTTTTGACTATGGTATTTTAAGAATCATTAATCTGATGTCTTAGGGCAAAATAATAGTACGGAAAGATTGATTGGATGCTGAAAATGAAAATAAGATTTATGGTCTACATATAATATATAAGGAATTGTTGGTTCTTTTTTCCTGTTTAGAACAGAAGTGGCATATATATCTACTCAAAAGTATATCAGGGAAGAAGAGGCTCATCTGAGTAGCAGCTCCAAGGACTATGTGACTGATGGGGGACAAGAAAGGCAGGATAAACTGTTTAGTAGAATGGTAATCCCGTCATTAGAAATGTATACTGGCTGATTTTGTGTGTCAACTTGACACAAACTGGAGTCATCAGAGAAGAAAGAGCCTCAGTTGAGGAAATGCCTCCATGAGATACAGCTGTAAGGCATTTTCTCAATCAGTGATCAATGTGGGAGGGCCCATGGTGGGTGGTGCCATCTCTGGGCTAGTAGTCCTGGGTTCCATAAGAAAGCAGGCTGAGCAAGCCATGTGAAGCAAGCCAGTAGTAAGCAGCACCCTCCATGACCTCTGCATCAGCTTCTGCCACCAGGTTCCTACCCTGTTTGCATTCCTATCCTGACTTCCTTTGGTCATGAACAGCAATACAGAAATGTAAGCCAAATAAACCCTTTCCTCTCCAACTTGCTTTTTGGTCATAGTGTTTCATTACAGCAATAGAAACCCTAACTAAGACAAAATAGGAATATAAGAAAAAGAATACTTAGGGAAGATGGGCAATGAGTTTTGAAGCTGGACTTAATTTCAAAACACAGAATTATTAGAAATAATGTCTAAACCTTATGGGATATAGGAATATTTGGTTTAAAACTTCAGACAGCTGCTTACGTGTGTACTGTCTTAATCAGAATGATCAGAACCCTACCTGGGAAATGGTGCTTGGAGACTGATAGCAAAGATTATCTGTGGCATTTTTTTCCTGTTTATGGAAATAGGACAGATGTGAAATTATTGTAATGTTACAGTGCCCACTTTATACCAGACATGGGGAATTCATCTCGAGGAATGTAATGGACACACAAACACCAAGCCATAGACTGGAAAGATACTGCAGTAGAAGCCTATGCCCACCAGATAGTGGAAGCACAAGGGAGGGAGTGTGTGCTCAGTGGAAAGAGGTGGGATCTGGAACACTTCAGATACAGTGGTACACTTTAGTGAATAACAGAACATGTGGAGGTGTTCACTAGGCTTAAAGGGAAAGGGAGTCTGCTGGGTAGAAGCAGCATCACGAGTGAGACCGAGCCATGAAAACTGTATTTAAGGAGCTACAGTCTTGTTGGAGTACAAGATGTGGGAAAAATGATGGCAAGAGAGGAAAAAACTCCTAACTTTTCACCATTTACTTTGAACGTAACAGAAGAGTACCAGCCTCTGTGTTCTAAACTTCATCTATTAGTTTAGACTTCACAATGTTGCTATGAGGGAGGCGTTATTAAAATTTGTTAAAAAGCAAAACAAAAACAAAAAAAACATTGCATCAGTAGGATGGCTCAGCAGATAAAGGTGCTACTACATCTGAGAACCTGAGTTTAATCCCTGGAATCTACAAGTCACTGGAGTGAATAGAATAGAGAACTCACTCCAGTGACTTGTTCTTTGGCCTCCAATAATGTGCTTTAGCACATGGGATTTTTTCTCTCAGCCTTGGCTTAATTTTCTTTTGGTGGTAGTAAATGGAGGTATATTCTACAAGTAATCCTAGCTGAGTAAGTATTCTGAAACTTAAAAAACTTTATAAATTCCTAATTTATATTATTATCATTGTTGTATATATAAATAATGTGGTAGCTTTTAAAATTGGTCAACTAGTGGTTTTTGTTTTTGTTTTGTGTTTTTGGTGTTTTGAGACAGAGTTTCTTTGTGTGGCCCTGGCTGTCCTGGAACTCACTTTGTAGACCAGGTTGGCCTCAAACTCACAGAGCTCCGCCTGCCTTTGCCTCCCAAGTACTGGGATTATAGGTGTATGTTACCATTCCTGGCCAGCTAGTGTTTGTCATTATAAAAGTTGTATTAATTTTGAAGAGTATGGTGTAGTGCAGAGGTCTGTTGTTGAATCTTGACTACTATTTGAAAAATGCCAGATTGTTATTTGTTAATTGGTGTCTTTGATTTTGTTTGTTTTATATAGGTGGTGTATGATGGACTCTTCGGTACAAATACAAATTCAAAGTTAAGAACATTGTCCCTGCAATTTGTACATCACATTTGTATAACGTAAGTTTTATTTTATTTTTTAACTAATTAATTACTCATTTTTTAGAATAATCAAGTTTTAGGTAGTTTTCTTTCCTCTTTCCTAAAAAGCAATCATGTTTGTTTATTTTAGAGAGATTCCATTCTTTAAGATTTATTTTTATTATTTTAAAAATTATGCATATATGGGTGTGTCTGTGTGAGTCTGTTCATGTGTGTGATGGTTCCTGCAGAGTACAGAAGAAATCATTGAATCTTCTGGAGCTGGAGTAGCATGGAGTGTGTACGTTGCCCAATATAGGTATTGAGAGCTAAACCAGGGTTCTCCAGAAGAGCAGTACAAGCGTTTACTGCTGAGTCATTTCTCTAGAAAGTTTCAGTTTTTATATATTGCTTAACTTCATTTATTGCTAATATTTTAAGAGACCATCTGAAAGGATATCTTGATTTTTATTTTTGTTTTTAAAGCTGCCCAGAAATCAAGATTAAGCCACTAGGTCCTATGCTTTTGAATGGTCTCACTAAACTAATAAATGAATATAAAGAGGTAAGTGACTTGTCTTTTAAATTTTAATATTTATAAGGTATTTAATGTAATAAATCTCCCAGGCCCACCTATTGGTATAGTGAATGTTTGGTATTGACCTTAGTTTGTTAACATTTTTATTTGAAATGGTGACAATTTCATATACTGTTGCCATTTTTTTGCCTTTTAAAGAGATAATTGTTAAAGCCGATAACATCTTTAAGGATGTCATCCCTTCTTTAAGCTATGTGCAAAAGCAAATACATTTTATGCTACTTGTCTGTCCTATGTAAAATTGAAATTAAGTTAATTTTATGTTGTATTTATATCTAGAATTATTTGGAGTTGACTTGTACTGGGAAATAGTATTAATTTTTAAGGGGCTCAGATTTTACTAATTGACAATTTTATCAAATACACATTCAGTAAATTTTTGATTCTGTAAAATAAGTGTTATCAGAATTTCCTGGATTGTAGAATTTCAGAGTCTGATTTTCTTTGCTCTATTTTCTCATTATCTCATATTTCTTGAGAATATGCTAAACAGAATAGATATAGTATTAAGTCTAGCTAGCATTGAATTTTTCAGGCTTTGTTAAACATGAGTCCATTTGTGCAGTAGTACAGGGAGATCAGTATCTGAAGTTAGGGTTGAATTTGCATCCTAGGTCTATTCTTTGATAACTACTCAAGTCATTTGGACTCTTGCTTGTCAGAAAAAGGGATAAATTACCTTATTGTATTCTTCTAAAATGAAATGAGTAAACACACAAAGTGGTTTAATATAGGCAGGGCACATTAGATATTACAGGTGAAAACTATTGATTTGTTATACACTTGGAATCTAGGTTTTTTTCTTCCATTGAATAATGCTTACCTGGTTTTTAAAGTGTAATAAAATGTGTATTTGTTTTGTTTTTGAGACAAAGTTTCTCTGTGTAGCCCTGGCTGTCTTGGAACTTGCTTGTAGACCAGCCTGGCTGGCCTAAAACTAAGAGATTAGTCTGCCTCTGCCTTTGGAGTGCTAAGATTAAAGGTGTGTACCACCCCTGCCTGGCCATTTTTTTCCTTTAAGGTTTAATAATTTTTTTAGCATTATTTTATGGCATAGATTATGTGATAATCAGATGCTTTAGAATAGTTGGTAGAAATAAAAATGCTTTTGGACTTTTGGGGGAGAAACTGTATATTTCACAATAGGTTTTAGGTGGGTCCAACCCTGTGGCCTAAGTTAGGTTTGAATGTAGCACAACCCAAAATCATGAATTTACTTAAAACATTTTTTGTGTGTTTTTTATTTTATTTATTTATTTATTTATTTATTTATTTATTGTGTGTGTGTGTGTGTGTGTGTGTGTGTGTGTGTGTGTGTGTGTGGTGTATCAGCCCTTCTTCCCTTCTTCCCCTAACCCCCTTCTTATACTTTGATTGCAAAGTTTAGGTGACATCATGTTTTTGTGTCAGTAGGTTCGACATGACTGGCCCAGTCCAGATAAAACACAGTACCTAATCTTACTTCCAGGTGTCCTTTACATACCTTCCCAACAGATGTGTCACTAGAGTTGGCTGTTCAAATGTTGGAGGCTGAACTCTAGGTTAAATGGACAAAGTTTATCTGACAGTTTTACTGTGTTCTGAGTAATGCCGACTCTCAGTTTTTGTGAAACTCTAAAGCTCTATATTTTGGGTGGAGACCACTGTTTTCTATAATGACTCTGACCTACTTAATTTGTTATGGTGTAAGAAATAAAAAGAAGCCACTTACTTTATTACTGGTATTTAGAAAATTGTACTTATGCTTATTACAGTTTTGTTGGGGAGGGAATATGTCTCTCAGAGCAGGGATAATTTCCCAATAAGCCCAAGTGTATTGAAGATTAATTTTGGTGTTTGCAGGATACTTGATATTGAAAACACCCTAAAGTTAGTGCCAGATAAGAGAAATCTTTCATGTGTGACCACTGTATTTTGGAGTGAGTTAAAGAAGGTTTTGTTTGTATTTTCTTTTGTTCTGAGTTTGGACATTTTATTGTTGTGGCATTATTATGTAAGATAGCATGAGTGAAAAGTAAAATAATACATGTGATTGTGGCAAAAGCATTTACTGTTTATTGTATTTTTTGTCTGATTTTTATTCCTTTTTTAATTTTAAGGACCCTAAACTGTTGTCAATGGCATATTCAGCTGTTGGAAAACTCTCCAGGTGAGTAATGTTTTTTCTATCTTTTTAAATTTTTTCTGTGAAAGATATCTGTTGAAAATTGGGAAAAATTTATCTGGCATTAACAATAGATGGAGAATAATTTACTATGATTTTGACAGGAAATGTATTTTATGGCAACGGGCTGTTTAGAAATGTCCTCTTTTTACAAAAGATAGGAGTCATTTAAAAGTTTGCCTTTGAAAATACATTACCATATCAAATGTAATCTTGAAATTAGGTTTTCAACTGAATTGTGTCAAAAGAGGTTACCATTATGGTTGTATAGTGAATTATACTATAGACATTAAGTTAACCTTAAGTGTTCCTGTTGCTTCTTATCACTAAACCTTATAATCTCATCTGATATTACTTATGAGTATGAATGATCCTGTTTTTAAAGATATATGTTTCCCTCTGCTCAAGATGATTTCGTCATTCCAATTTCTTCTGGTATCATCTTCTTCATTTCAAACTGAAGGGAAAAAAAAAAAGAGATGAAATGTTTTCACTGGTCCCATTGTGTTGCTTTGGTACCAAACAGGCTATATGTTGCTCTTCTCTGATGTGAAGGGAAAACACTTCAGAGTTCAGAAGAAAGTGACTCTAGATCAGCTTACAAGCACAGGGTTACAGACTCTATCCCTTTATATAGTAGCATGAAGTAGCAAGGCCTCTTACTATGGCAGATTTTCATTTAAATTACAATTTAGTATCTCTTTCCTTTATGTGAAAGTCTTGAATTTTAACTGAGTGCATGGAATGTTATAGAAGGAATACCCGGAAATATGTAAATGTGTGTGTGCGTGTGCGTGTATGTGTGTGTTAATGAAGGATTATTTATATAATTGAAAAATAATCACTTTAAAAAATATTTGGCTCCTGGAGAAAGTAACCTAATGATACTGACGTTGTATTCAGTGTTGTAAAAATGTGAGCTGAGGAATGTTTGTATATAGTTTTCATTTTCTACCCCTTTTCATCCCATGGAAATTTGTGATAATGATATTCTTACATTCTCTTATAGTCGAATGCCCCATTTATTCACTAAGGATATAGCTCTTGTGCAACAGCTTTTCGAAGCCCTGTGTAAGGTAGGGAAACATACTGTTAAGTTTATACTTCTGCATGGATACTTTCCTGGAAGTCAGCTGGGAGGGAATACTATTTTTACTGTCTTTACAGGAAGAGCCTGAGACTCGACTTGCCATTCAGGAAGCATTATCTATGATGGTTGGAGCGTATAGTACCTTAGAAGGAGCACAGAGAACTTTAATGGAGGCACTTGTAGCTTCATATTTAATAAAGGTAGGCCCCAGCTATGTGAATGACAACGGCTAGTAGTATATACATTTTGCATTAAATTTTTTAAAGTTTGTAAGTATAGATTGTACATATTTAAGGAGTACAATTTTTCAGTATGTGTGTGCAATTATATACTATTCAAATCAGGATAAACTAAAAATCTCTTTTTCTGGCCTTTTTTTATTTTTATTTTTTTAAATACTCAATACTTTAGTATCTTCTATATACTGGGACACCAGAACTTATTTTTTGTATCTAACTCATTTGGTACCTGTAGACCTTTCTTTATCCATATCTGGTAACCACTGTTCCACTCTCAAATTCTGAGATCAACTTTTTTAGAAAGGTGTCTTAGAAAGACTACATAGGAGTCTAAGAGATAGGAAGTGAGATTGTGTGGCATTGTCTTTCTGTACCTGTTTAACTTGCCTTCTAGTCCCATCCATGTTGCTGCATATGACAATATTACTTTTTAAATTATTATTTTATAATTCTGAGGATTGAACCCAGGGTCTTACTCAGGCACATATTCTTCTACTGATCTATGCCATATTGTATAGTTTTTAGAAGGAAATTTGAATTTCTTTTCTCTGTAAAACTTTGATTATTAAGGGGTACATTTACTGGTTTACATTTATGACTTATGATCAATTTTAATTCTTTATGCTGGAAATGTGGTTTTGGGTTGAACTATGCACAGTGATGCTTATATTTAAGCTTCTGTGTAGGACACCTGTTCTTAATGCTTCGTCTTTGAAGCTGGAAGTGCTTGTCTTTATAGCTCCTAGCTGACCACTTTAGTCCATTGGAGTAGAGTTCTATGGTTATCACTGTTAGACAAGTGCTGAAAGAAAGACAAGCCACATTTGTCAAAATGAGTCTGTAGGACGAAAGCCAGTCCATCATACATGGTCTTCCTTCACCTTTTCCTTTTCATGGGAATATCTATAGAAGAATTTAGAATATCTACAGGCATATATATAATCTACAATCATATATATATAAAACATGTAATAAATAATAAAACTTTGAATTTTTGCCTTAATTAGTTCTTTGTCCTCCATTTCTAGAAATAGAGGAGATTGGGAAAAGTAATTATTCAAAAATACTGGTGAGATTAACAAATGTGTTTTTCTTAAATTAAACTGACATGATATAGTCATGTGATGGAATTCTTAGAGGTTCAGAAAAGCATCTGGTGTCTACTGAAATATGAAGAGCAAATTGTACCATTATATACATTTAGATTCCTGTTTTCAAATGCTCCTGGGGTCTTGTTTATGTGATTAATGATCTTATAGGGAATGACTTAGACCTATCTGGAAGTTCATTAGAATAGAACACTTGAAATTTTTCCAGGTAACTTTATGAGCAAAAATGATGGATGTGTAATGCCTTGTAGATACTGGTTCTCCTCACATAAATGAAAACATGTAGCAGTATTACCAAGCCAAAGATAATTTATTTTGTTTTCATAGACTACTTTTAATGCAACCAAACCTTAGGTTAAATTACATAATTTAAACTAGTCTTTAATATCATTCTTTTTGTAGCTCAGGGAATATAAATAGCATGAATTCCAGAAGAATAAGGCATATATTTCTTAATTTCTCACATATTTCACTTAGGTTTGTGACTAGAGGAATATATTGGGGGAAGGTACTTAAAAGTAAACCTTTAGCATCAGTAAATTCTCAAACTGGTCAATTTCATAAGTTATCTAAATTAAGGGAGTATATTTGCATAGTTGAGTTTCTGTTCTCAAGTCATTATTAACTTCAGAACAAACTTGAGAAAGATGTATTTTTGTTGCAAAATTATAGTAAGTAAGGTCAGATTCTATTCCTTGCAAAACATCTGAATTTCACTTGTGTGACTAAGGGTTTGAAAGTTGGGGAGGCAAAGATAGTGATGAAAACCTCACAATGACCTTGGCTTCAAGTTTGGACTAGAAATGTGTATGTACAGAGAGATTCTTTCTAGCTAGGATCTTTGTGCATCTTTGATCTATTTGCAAGATCCTTTTAGCTCATAAAAGTACTCATTAAGTAATGTCAGAGACTTCTAAGCAGCATGATTTGAGATCTTAAATAGGGCTACTGGTATAGTTCAGTGGTAGAGCTTGTGCATAGTGTGTGAGGCCCTGGATTCTATCTCCAGCATTCGTTGTCCTCCCAAAAGAGAGCTCTTGAACGTATCTTGATTTTTATTGGTTTAGGCATATGTTTATTGATATGTCAAATTTGAATTGTGTACAACTAGGTTGACTTAGGACTGGATTGAGATGCTGATAATTGAATTCTTTTTTGGGGGGGTATGGATGTCTGTTTTTTTGTGTGTGTGTTCAATAGCCTGAAGTTCAAGTTCGGCAAGTTGCGGTGAAATTTGCCAGCACGGTGTTTCCCTCAGATCATATACCTTCCAGATACTTGCTCCTACTAGCCGCAGGAGACCCGTAAGTTTAAAAAGATGTCAATTTGAATTTCAATTAATTAAGTAAATTTTAAAATTACTAAAATTTATGTTGGTTGCAAAGTTGGCTTATGAAATTTAGAAGTAATTTATTAAGGAGTTAAAAGTGTATTCTTTCAGGTGACTTACAGTCATATAACTATATATTTATATTGAATTATCATATATATCTATAATATATGACAAATAGATAATATAGATAGAAAAATTCTTATGAAATAGTCAAATGTAAATAAAGCAAACCTCATAATTGTATAAATAATATACTTAGATATATAATTATATAGAGAGGTCTTCTATAGGAGAAAAAAAGAAAAAAAATTAATGTCTTTGATTGCTCAATATACATATTGTAATACTACATTTTGTTGATGGAATATCATTTTGTATCTAATATGTTAAGATTTTAAAATGAAGTTTGCATATATATACTAGTGAATTACATTACTGCAATTCTAAAGTGTATTTTTTTTTTTTTCCGAGACAGGGTTTCTCTGTGTAGCTTTGTGCCTTTCCTGGAACCCACTCTGTAGCCCAGGCTGGCCTTGAACTCACAGAGATCTGCCTGCCTCTGCCTCCCGAGTGCTGGGATTAAAGGCGTACGCCACCACCACCCGGCCTAAAGTGTATTTTTAAGGTGACTAATGTGCTACCTAATACGCTAATGAAGCACCTTTTTTCATCATTTAAATATTTCTAAAATTGAAAAATGATCTTAAGCCATTATGTAAATATAATAAAATATGTATGTGCATATTATAACAAATTCATCAAACTTACTATCTCTTTCATAGTCATTGACAGCTTAACATATGTGAAGTACTCTAATATCTGCCAAAATATATGATTTTTGTATTAATCACTTTTTAATATTATTGTTTTAAAATTTCATTTATGGTGGAGCTCCTTTTATCATTTGAATATCCTTTCCATAAATTCGGTGGTCCATTTAAAAAAAAATACGGGAAGTTAGTTGATAACTGTTTGAGAATTTTAAGTAGGCCTTTGATATCTACCTTCAGTATGAATTGTATATTTTGCTATGATATTTTAACTAAGTTTGCTGATGACAGGCTTTGACTTTTGATTTCTTATCTTGATTTCCTTCTTATTCATTTGCATTTCAATTTGGCTCCAGTGGTTTTGGATTGTTAATCTTGTTTTTGTTGACCTGTTTTTTTTTTTTTTTTTCCCTACCTTAAGTTTTTCAACTACATGCCACATATCCTAGTATCTGTGAGCTAAGGTAGCAATCAATTGATGTTAGAACAAGATTTCAATCCAGGAACCTAGTATTTTTATTTACACCACAAAACCCAATACACGACTAATTCAGTATTTCCCATTTTTAGTTTTTAATGGTTCTGTTCAAGTGAGAAATCCTCTGGCAGTTCAAGGCTTTGCCGGCTTGTTCCTTCCTGTCACTCTATAAGGTGCTCTTAGGAATTCAGGACCAGGTCAGAGGCAGTGGAGGAGGTCTGAGAAGAAGCAGAGCTGGGAGGTCATTTTCAGGTGTCCTGAAATAGAGTAGGTTTTATAGTTGTATGTATTAATGCCATTTATTTACCAGTTTTTGTAGAATTTTAGACAAACTACCAAGAAGTGTCAGAATTGAGGTGGATATGTAGAACACAGGACACTACTGAGTTTTAATGTGTGTTGTAGTTGTTTGTGTTTTAGTTTTAATAAGAATAAAGCATACAAATAGATATTTACATAATGAATTGCAGTAATTAATCTGTTTTGTTTATTCCCTGGGAGTAAAAGTTAAAGATGTAAGCCAAGTGAGTCTCCTGATCTCATTAAATCACCAAAAGGTTGTCATTTTTTATTTTACTTTGTATTTATTGCTTATCTAGCCAAAAATGTACCCAGGACATTTTGTCAGAACTCTAGCTGTCAAATAAAGTTTCCGTTTCCATTCTTCTTCAAGTTATGACTGTCTAGTTGGCAAAGTTTATTTTTAATTCTTATTTGTCTTTCTAAAAGACGAGAAGAAGTCCATGGTGAAGCACAGCGTGTATTACGATGTCTTCCTGGTAGAAACAAAAAGGAAAGCACTTCTAAGCAGATGCCATCTTTTCCAGAAATGGTGTATTACATTCAAGAAAAGGTAGGTTACTATAGGTAACTATAGGTTTGAAACATATGATAGTTGATGGAAATAAAAATGAACATTTTAAAAGTAAAAATGCAATAATTAAATATTAAATAGTATCATAGTATTTACAGTAAGAGGGAGCTACAAAGTAAGGAGAGAAAAAAATTCCTACATACAATTGATTTGTTTAGCTTAAATATGAATGATTTATAATTCTTTTAATGCTTGTCAGCATTTGAGTATATTCAAAAAATTTTCCTTTGGTATGACATAGTTAAAAACATATCTTTAAAAAGATTGAGTTTACTTGTTTTGCTAGTTCTAGTTCCTCCTTCTTAAGGGCACCAGTTGTCATAAATGTAAGGATGCTTTAGAGCAGTTGGGGTTTTTCCACTATTATTATTCCATATTCTTTTGCAGATCTCTGCAGTGTTTCTACAGCTCAGAGTATTGGCAGTAGTAATCCTCAGCACTGACACTCCAATTTTTTACATTGGTGTTGTTTTGATTATGTTAGGGACTATCATTTTGAGTGTGAGGGACATAGGCAGCAGAACAATGTTTAGGAAAGACATATGTAGGTAGCTGTCTTTTGTTTTGTTTAGAAAAAGACAAATGCATGAGATGGAGAGGTAGCTAAGTGGTTAGGAGCATATACTGCTCTTGTAGTAGACCTGAATTTGATTTCTAGGACCTGTGTACAACTGTCTGTGGTTACAGCTCCAGGGGGAATCCAATGCATCTGTCCTCTGTGGGGTCCTGCACTCCTGTGCACACACCCACACCCAGATACGCATGCATTCACATAATTTAAAATGATACAAACAAATCTGTAGGGCTGGAGAGGCTTAGCAGTTAAGAGCATTTGTTCTCTTGCAGACGACCTGGGTTTGGTTCCCAGCATCCACATGATGCCTCACAATCGTTGTAACTACAGTTCCAGTGGATCTGACATTTTCCTCTGGTCCCCAAGGGTTGTGTGTGCAAATGATACACTTAGATACATTCATGCAAAGCATATACATAAATAAAAATAAGTAAGATGAAAGGGGCTGGAGAGATGGCTCAGGAGTTAAGAGCACTGGCTTTCTTTGATAGGACCTGGTTTGATTCCTAGAATCCACATGATGGTTCACAACCTTGTGTAGCTCCAGTTCCAGGGGATATGATGTCCTCTTGTGGCCTCCACAGACACTGCATGAATATGATATACAGACACACATTCAGGCAAACACCCATATACATACAGTAAAATAACCTAAAAAAACCCAAAAATCCCAAAAACCTGGAAGACAAATGCAAATCAACAATAGCAATATAACTAGAAGTACAGTTATTTTCAGCTAAATGAGAGAACAATTTATTTCCAAAAATTTAATTTGTTTTGTGATCATTTTTGTTAGGCTTCCCATCGAATGAAAACTCCAGTCAAATACATGACTGGAACTACTGTCCTTCCATTTAACCCAGCAGCATTTGGAGAGGTAGGACTTTTGTGTCTTTCTGTAATGGCTATGAAAACTAACATCATGCCTAAGCTGTGTGTGAGCCTTTGCTTTATAGTAAACTCATATTATGGTATCATTGTTCTTTTAGGGTGTTTGTTTTAAAAAACAAGGCCCAGTATTTGGTAATTTGCTTTGTTTTAATTCATAGTTAACTCACTGAGGTTCCCTATTCACCCCCAACCCCTGTACCTGAATCAAACCTGGGGCCTTAGAAATGGAAGATAAGTACTGCTGAGTCACACCTCCAGATTCCCAGTCCCTAGGAGCAGTCTCTATGACAGAACAAGGTGCTCTGCATTGGTTCTAGCCGGGCTTTAGTAGCAAGTTAGACTTGACTTTAAAGCCAGCATACTGTTGAAATTGCTCGGGGTTTCTAGGTTAGAAGACAAGAGAGGATTTATCACGTTTATTGAGAGGATTAATTTATCACATCTAACGTGGATTTTATGTTTTAAATTACTGATTTGCACCAATTAAATTTCTAATAATCTTCTTAGAGTAAGAAGATGGCCGGGCAGTGGTGGTGCACACCTTTAATCCCAGCACTCAGGAGGCAGAGGCAGGCGGATCTCTGAGTTCGAGGCCAGCCTGGTCTACAGAGCAAGTTCCAGGAAAGGCGCAAAGCTACACAGAGAAACCCTGTCTCGAAAAACCAAAAAAAAAAAAAAAAAACCAAACAAAAAAAAAACCAAAACAAGAGTAAGAAGGTGGCTAGGGGTGTAGCTCCTTGGTAGAGTGTATGCTTAGTGTCTGAAGGATACAGCTTCCTTCAGTCCCAGCATGAAGAAGAAAAAATAGTCAAGCCTTTTACTTTCACTAAAAAACCACATCTGGTTTAGCGAAATCTTGTTCCACCTTTGTTAAATTATGTTAATTTAGTTAGCGTATTGAGTCCTGCTTCCTGGCTTCCATTAAGATTTTGTAATGTTTTATGAAGGAGGGTGGGGAAGTAAAAACTGAAAATTGTCACTCTGAGGAAGACGCCTCCACACTTGACTTTTTAAGAAGTTGGTAATTCTCATCCTTCTGGTTTAGATAGTCCTGTACTTGCGCATGTGCCTGGCTCATAGTGCAGGGGTGGTGCCCACCTCTCAGAGTTTGGCTGATATGCAAGATCACGCTCCAGCCATTGGACGGTACATTCGGACATTAATGTCAAGCAGCCAGGCGACAGCTTCATCTTCTAATAAGAGTGGAGAGACCAACCCTGTTCAGATCTACATTGGCCTGCTTCAACAGCTATTAGCAGGGGTTGGAGGTAGGAACTTCATCATACTAAGAAAGTATTAAAGCTACTTTTACCTTTCTCTTGAGTATTTTCACATCTGACTCCAATGGATAGGTTACAAACCATGGTCACACAGATGACTCTGGTTAAACTCATTGTGCCTCAAAATGTAATAAAAAGATAATAATTTGGGAAAGGGACTTGTAAGTAGGAAGTGGTTATATGTGTATGTGTGCAATAATAGGGATGAGAGAGAAATAAATAGAGAGTTGGGGGGTACACTGATCAGAATATAATATATATAATATATAATATGTGAAATTGTCAAAAAGCAAATTCAATAAAAACTATTAAAAAATTAAATTTTAGACTGCTAAGAATTTACAGCAAATCTATTCTAACCTTCTTGACTTCTGTAACTAAACATTAGCCATTGTTTACTTTTTAAACCTACCTGATTTATCCTTGATATATTTTTCATTTCAGAAACAAGGGTTAATGTAGATACATATTTTGTCTTTGGAAATGCAGATGAAGAGCAGGGCATCCTTTTGATAACTGAATTGAATTCTATATTTAGAATTTAATTTTTCCACTTTTAGACTAGAATTTGTATTTAAGCAGTAGCATTACATTTGAGAGAAATTTAGGAATTTCTGTATATTCATTCTTTTTTCCGAAAGTTAAAATGGTTCTGATTCTTATTTAGGTTTGCCAGTCATGTACTGTCTATTGGAAGCTGTGTCAGTGTATCCAGAAAAATTGGCTACCAAATTTGTAGACAAAACAGAATGGATCAAGGTATGTCCTTCTGACATGTTTATTTCTCTAAGAATTCAGATATTTCAAACTAATTGAAAGGTCTCTTTCTTCCTACCAGTCTTAATATGCCCTTTACTACTTTTAAGTCATTTAAAAATTTTCCCACAACCCAATACTTACTGGAAAACATGCAGCAAGGTCAACATCCCTCATGACCCGTCTTGATGATGCTGAGGGATGAATTCAAGAACCATCAGCTAAAAATATTTTTCTGCTTCAAAAAATATTTTATAATAACAGGCATATATATAAAAACACATTTCCATTGTGTATTTATTTGTCAATAAGACATTTCTTTTCTGTAATGTGTCATGCCTCCTTAAATCTTCTCCCTTTCCTCCTCTTCTCTTACTTCTGACAAACACACAAATGACAGTAATAGTTTTATGGGGTGAAACATCTGTGTTGCTTATGCATATATGCTTATGCACAAAACAATGAATTTAAACATCTGTGTTGCTTATGCACATCTGCTTATGCACAAAACAATGAATTTAAAATATTTTCCTGCCGGGTGGTGGTGGCACACGCCTTTAATCCCAGCACTCAAGAGGCAAAGCCAGGCAGATCTTTTTGAGTTCGAGGCCAGCCTGGTCTACAGAGCGAGATCCAGGAAAGGCACCAAAACTACACAGAGAAACCCTGTCTCGAAAAACCTAAATAAATAAATAAATAAATAAAAATGTTTTCTCTTTACAGTTTTGTGTTTCTTTTACTGGATAGTAAAGCTTGTAGCTAATCTTGTAACTGAGGAGAAAACTCCTATTTATTTTAACAGCTTCATCATTTGCAATTGTTTGGTTAATTCTAGATTCTTATTGCTGACCATTTAGGATTCTTATCTGCTGCAGTGAATAATACTATTTAATACTATTTTCGTACAAAGAAATGTCTCATATAATTTTTTTCATAGCAAAGAGGATTTATTGTATTTCATGGGAGAGTTGTAAGAGTGAGAAGTATATATTTCATATTTCCCAGATGTGGAAGACAAGTGTCTATAATTTTGATAATGCCCACCCTTCATGTGGGCAGTACTAAGTTATGCTATCAGCTCAAGTGAGAATGTTCTTTCATGATAACACCAAAGATATTATTATCAGGTGTAGCAAATAAAAATGTAAGTGAAATTTGAATTTTAAATTAGTCTTTTTAGTAAAAATATGGCTCATACAGTTGTATATATCTGTTGTGCTTTGTAATGGAATTCTTTTTGGAAACTGTAGCTTGAGTTATGGTAAAATCTACAGATTTTATCTTTAAATGTGAAAATAGGAATGTAGTTTGTCAAGAGAGTTTTTATTTTTCTTGAAAAGATTTGGTCTCGTGAAAGTGCTTCTTATTTAAAAAGAGTTTTTATTCTTTGTAATTTCTAATTTAAACTGATCTTGTGAGTTTTGATCACATAATAGAAGGTAAATGCTTTCTATGATATGAGGAGAAACTAGACAATGAGTTTGATTCTAGGGCCTGTTATGTTGTGACCTATGAACTAAAAATATGGTTTGACTTCTACTTTTTATGATCTACAAGATAATAATGGTTTTCAATTTTTTTGCCTTTTTGAGACAGCATTTCTCTTTGTAGCCCTGATTGTCCTAGAACTTGATGTATAGACCAGGCTGGCCTTGAACTCAGAGTTCCACCTGCCTCTGCCTCCTCAGTGCTGGGATTAAAGGTGTGTGCCACCGCCACCAGGCTCTGTTTTTCACTTTATTTGAAAAAAAAAAAAAATTATGCTGGAGTTTGAAAACACAGGGCTTTGCACATGGTAGGCAGGTGTTTTCCTCTGAACCACAACTGTAGCTCTTTTATATTTTAAAATAGTTGGGAAAAAAAAAAAAAGACATCATTCCATGACATACAGACTGTAGTTCTCATTTTAGTGGAACCCAGCTGTGTCCGTACCTTTTTGTGAACAATGGCAGAGTGGAGTAGTCCCAAGAGTGACTAGATAGCCCATAGAGTCTTGATTTTTCACAGAAAAAAAAATTTGCTGATCTCTATTTTAAATCAGCTATATTTATTTTACCTGTTTTAATGAACATGCAACTAAGATTTTTGTTGTTGCTGTTGGTGGTGGTGTTGAGACGGGGTTTCTCTGTGTAACACCCCTGGCTGTCCTTCAACTTCCTTTGTAGACCAGGCTGGACTTGAACTTACAGAGACTTACCTGTCTCTGCCTCCCAAGTGCTGGGATTAAAGGCACACACTACTACCGTCCAGCTAAGATTTTCATATATAATTTCAGCTCATTATATTTTTTCTTTTTATTTATTTTACATTTTTAGTAAAAATATATTACTTCTCTTTCCTCCTTTTAACCCTTCCCATGTTCCTCCCAAACTCTCAAATTGATAGCCTCTTTTTCTATTATTGTTTTATGTATATGTATGTGCATATATATATGTATACACACACGTGTGTATATACATGTATACACACACATACAAATATATACATACAATCTGATGAGTTCATTTTTGTTGCTTGTGTGTATATGATTTCAGGGGTGACCGTTTTGTATTGGATAACCAGTCAGGGAGCTCATCCCCGGGAGAGGCTAATTCTCCCTCAGCAATCATTGATTGCCTGTAGTTCTTTGTCTAGGTGTGGGACCTGGTAAGATTTCCCTCTGCTGTGTTAGCATGTCTATTGATATTGTCATTGTTCTGGTCTTATTTATCCAACCATTTTGGTATTCTGGGTCTTACAACCCTCCAACCTCGTTTTGTGATGTTACCTGAGTCATAGAGGCAGGAGCTGTGCTACAAATGTATCCAGTCAGGCTGGGCTCCCCCACAGTCCATTGATGTTTGCATTGTGTTCAGTTGTGGTTTTTGATGAGACATGATAGCTACTTACCTCTGGGTATAGAGATCAGATAAAATTCCCTAGTTAGGAATTATCCTGGTCTAGCTAAGTGGTGATAGTAGATTCTCTTCCAAGATCTCACAGGTCCTCACTAGTTGGCTAGGTTTCTAGTGCCAGGCATGATTTCCCTCCTGTTGAATGGGCCTTGAGTCCATTTAGACAGCTGTTGGTTACCACTGGTATGTGGAGTGCCATTATTGCACCTTTATGCATATCTCGCCATGCTGGTAGGTGTCACAGCTGAATAGGACTATTGTTTTCCTCCCTTGGCAGCTTGCATAGTACTTTCTGGTACTGTGGAAGTTAGACTGCAGGAAGGAGGGTGTCAGGTTAGATCCAGTTCAGATTTATTAATCTTGTTCTTTGATAATTTTATACACGAACATAATACATTCTGATAGTTCTCTCCAGCATTTTCTTTTGTCTTCCTCTCATCCCTATTATCTCTTCCATCCTACCACCAGCCTCTTTTCCATATTCATGACTTTTGGATTATTTTTTATTTTTTGTGACTATGTAGTTTAACCAAGACCATATGTGTGACCTTTGTATTGTAACTGTGGATTGGAGCCTGGCAGAGTCATTTTGTTTGGAAATAATAGCTTCTTGTATTATATTTTTCATGGATATCAATAGATTGAATGTTAAATATGTCATTTACTTTTATAATTCTAAATGTCAGATGTTGTCAACAGGAAGATGGTTGTGAATCATTTCTCTCTTTCTTTTCTGTATTGCTCAGAGTCTGATGAGTAGCAGTAAAGAAGAAATGCGTGAACTGGCGGCTTTGTTTTATTCTGTGGTTGTATCAACAGTGTCCGGAAATGAATTAAAGTCAATGATAGAACAGCTTATAAAGGCTACAAAAGACAATCATGTATGCTATCAACTTATTTTCAGTCTTCTTTGTTATTTAAATAAAATAATTTCATATTTTAACAAAAATATAGAAACCTATATCTGAACCTCAGGCACTGTTATTAATCCTGGGGCAAGTTTTCTTTTTTCATACTTACAGATTTACCCAATTTGAGATCTGAGTTATGACAAGAACTTAGGAGCCACTTTGCGAGAAAGGATCAATTTCTCCTTTGCACCTGTGAGGCAGTGAAAAAATACAAAATTTTAACAATTTGTTTCTACCCTGTTTGTCTCTCAGTTCTGGAAATAGTTGAGTCTTGCGGGACCATCTTCCTGGATTAGGAAGTTTCCTTACAAGGGTGGACTAACCTGATTTTGTTGGTGCTTTTGAGCCTGGGTCTCACTGTGTAGCCCAGGCTACTTTCAGACTTGAGGTTCTCCTGCCTTAGCGTGTGCCACCGTACTCCTCAGCTTTGTTCTCACTCTTTTTCAGTAGGCAGTAGGGTTCTACACAGTACCTGATTGTACTTTTAGTTTTTAGGTATCCGTTTGTAAAGTAGACTTATACATTCTTAGCCTATATAAGTAAAAATTGAGATAGATGTGTTGATTCAGTCACTTCATTTAATAGCTTTTAATTCTATGTCTGAAAAGTACTGTTTTAGGAAATGTGCACGTTGTAGTAGGCAATTAGGGAATCCCTAGGATTGCCTGGTGTTCAATTGTTAGCTCTCCCCACCCCCATCTCTGCTACCTCTTAATCACAATACCTACAAAAAAAAGCAGACTTGATTAGTGTATCGCCTACCTTATATTTGGAGATTTTAGCAGTTAGAAAAAGGACTGCTTATTGTATTTTGTTTGCCATATGGAGAAATTATCCTTGAACATTATAATAATAAGCTGTATAGTGCTATAAACAGGAAGAAAGTATATAATGGGTTGGAGTGATGCTCAGTGGTTAAGAGCACTGGCTGCTCCTCCAGACGACCTGGATTCAATTCCCAGCACCCACATGCAGCTCACAACCATCTGTAACTCCAGTTCCAGGGATCTGACACCCTCTTCTGGTTTCTAGAGACATTGCAAGAACATGATGCATAAGCATACATTGAGGCAGACATTCATATGTGTAAAATAAAAATTAAATAGAAAGTATAAGGACTACAGAGGCATATTTAAAGGTCATGTGACCCACAGTTGGAGGTTGTATGAAATTAAAGTATCTAAATCTGCACATAAGTAAAGACCCAGCTTAATTTCTCAATGTTCTGTTAGAAACTTGTTAGAAACTGCTATTACTTAAGTTTGATTCATTGGCTTCCAGTTGAATCATTTTATTTTCTAGGTTTTATCAGAGACATTATTCTAACAACAGTTAGTTTAGTATATCTTTTCATGTGTGAGGTAGAAACAGTGCTGTTACTAAATTATTATTAAATTCAGAGCCCTGAGGTACAACATGGATCCTTGCTTGCATTGGGATTCACTGTGGGAAGATACTTGGCTAAGAAGAGAATGAGAACAGCAGAGCAGCACGACCTGGAGACAGATGCTGATCTCTTGCCTGAGCAAGAGGAGCTCATTCGGAGTGCTACAGAAACAATAGGTCAGTGTCCATACTGGTTTGGCTGATGCAGGCTTTGAATTCTGTTAAATTTTAATATGGTACTTTAGTTCTTATAACATTGTACTTTAAAGGCACAAGTTTTTCCATAAAATAATCTATTTTCTCCATGTTTTTATATACAAGTGCCAGTTACATTATAGGGAAAAACGTAACAAGGACACTTAAGTCCTATTGTCGTGATGTCTTACTATTACATACATGTCAACAAGTGGTTAACCAGAAAACATTATAGGTCTTGATTTTTCTGTTGCTGCTTTAAAAAAATTAATACCTGACTGACTGCTTTCAATCATAATAATTAATGTGCTACTCTCTGTTGTGCTTACAGGTTCATTTTTAGACAGTACATCACCTCTGTTGGCAATTGCTGCCTGCACAGCCCTAGGTGAAATTGGCAGAAATGGTCCTCTCCCAATCCCCAGTGAAGGATCTGGATTTACCAAACTGCATCTGGTAGAAAGCTTACTCAATAGAATCCCTTCTAGTAAAGAAACAAATAAGGCAAGACTTTCTTTTTTCTTTTCCTTCTAGACTTCTGTGTTTCTTTTCATAGTTGTATAAACTAAGAAAACCAAGTTATTACGAGTATAGTCATCTGTCCACATCCACCATGCACACTGCAGCTAGAACAAGGTTTTACTAATGTGTCCAAATGATAAAGATGTATTTTGATGAAGTATTTGCTGTTTTAATTTGCTTGTGAGGGAGATGTAGGAACAGTTTTGTGTGTTATCTTTTGACCCGTTATTCTACTTTAGCTCCTTAAGTTAGTTAGGTTTTCAGTAAAATTAAAAATGCAGTGGAGAACCATTTTTGTCAGACAAAAGCTGGATAATAAAATGCTCAGTTTCATGATTTGTATATCTTACAAATAGTGACAAATGTTACTTTCTTACAGCCAGTTTGGTTTGAAGAAGTATAGGCATTAGGAAGCAGTGTGAATAATCTGATGGAAACAACAGTTGTAGTTTTTTAAGTTGAGATAATTGTCATAGACTTTAAAACATGTAATTAAAGTACCTGATGCTGAAGATTAAGATGATCTAATGAGTAGAAAAATACCAGAGAGCTGAGAGACTTGCTCATGGGCTGCTAGGTAGTACAGGTAATTTTGTGCCTGTAAATCACATTTGCAACCTGGACAGTTTAAATAAGAAGCCTAAGGCTTTCTTTTTTCTTTTTAATTTTTTAGGTATGGGTCCTTAATGGACTTAGTTTTCTGTTTTGTTTGTTTGTTTGTTTGTTTGTTTGTTTTTGGTTTTTTGAGACAGGGTTTCTCTGTGTAGCTTTGCGCCTTTCCTGGAACTCGCTTTGGAGACCAGGCTGGCCTCGAACTCACAGAGATCCTCCTGGCTCTGCCTCCTGAGTGCTGGGATTAAAGGCGTGCGCCACCACCGCCCGGCAGTTTTCTGTTTTTAATGTAGAATGGGGCGTAATCATGTAGACTTTGGTGTATTAGCAGATTGATTGCTTCTCCCTGTCATCTCATCTTGGAAATACTGTTTAGAGATAAAGCTGTTATTTAATTTGTTTAAAATTTAAAAAAGAATCTGTGTTCTTCCAGATGAAAGAACGAGCAATCCAAACATTGGGCTATTTTCCAGTTGGGGATGGGGGTTTTCCCCACCAGAAACTCCTTTTGCGAGGTCTGATGGATTCTGTGGAGGTATTTATATTGTTACTCAAATAAAAAAAAACATTTTTAGTTGTTTTGCTTACTCTTGAGATTTTTAAATTTTGTTTTATTGGGAATTTGTTAATTTCTTTTATGTGTATGAGTGTTGTGTCTTTTTTTGTCCCGCATGCAATGCCCACAGAGACCAAAAGAGGACATTGAGTCCCCTGAAACTGTAGTTACAGGTAGTCATTAGTCACCATGTAGGTGCTGGGAATTGAACCTGGGTTCTCTGAAAGAATAGTCAGTATTCTAAAGCACTGAACCATCTCTCTAACTCCTACTCTGAGATTTTTAACAAATGAAACATTTGTTTCTTTCTCAAGGATTTTGAGTGTGCTAGCTTTAGGCTTATTACTGTGTTAGAAATAGCTCTATGAATGGTATGTCTGGGAAAGACTAATTATTTTTGAGTGGAACATGGTACAGTAGAAATAGAAGAAACCAATTAGCCCTCTGTGGAAAGTTGGGGCTGGTATTCTTGTTACTCTTGAGTTACTGATGCCCAGTGTGGTGGGAAAGACCTATAGTGAATACTAGCAAATTGTGGTAAGTATCTTAGCATGACCTAATCTTGCCTCTGCCTGCCTCACATTCGTGTACCAGCCTCTTTGCTCTGAGCTTCTGAAAATCTCATGTTTCCTTTCCAGATTGTTGCTGTGTTTCTTGAAAACCTTTTTGATATTTTAACTAGATTAGATTCTTCAGTTAAAATAACTTGGAACCCTTTTCTTTACAGCGTTTATCACATCTTCTCACTATTCTCTCTCCTGAAGGCAGGGTCTGCTTTGTTCATCATTACACAAGTCTACTAGTGTAATCGCAAAGGTAGATTCTCATAAATATTGGTAGAAATAAGGGAATAGGAAGATATTTGCATAGACGGTGGGAGAATCCTAAAGGAGGGTGTGATTGTGTCAGAGGATTCTGGTATAATCTGCTTGGATGGGAAGTTACTGCTGAGCCTTGAAGGGTGGGAGGAAGGAGACAGACTTTAGTTGAGGCTAAAAGATGTGAGGATTGAGATAACTGAGTAAGAGAACTGGAATTGAAATTCAAGCCTAGATTCTTTTGTTTCCTTTCTGTGGGAGAGTGAGTCCAGGGACTAAGCATCCACTCTGTCACTGAGCTGCATTCCCATTCTCATATAATGTTTTCAAAGTGAATTATACTCATGCTGGTATCATCAGATGCCAGTTGTCTTAGTTACTTTTCAATTGCTGTGACAAAACACCACAACCAAGGCAACTTATAGAAGAAAGTGTTTGTTTGGGGCTTATAGTTCAGAGGGTGAGTCATGACCATCATTAGCAGGCAGGCAGGCAGACACTTGGAATGGCCTAGTCCCAAAGCCCACCCCCAGTGACACACCTCTCAATCCTCCCCAAACAGTTCCACCAACTGGGGGCCAAACATTCAAATACATGAGTCTATGGGAGTCATTCTCATTCAAACCACCACACCAGTTTCATTGTACCTCTTGGAAAGCTTATGTCTGCTTTTTCATCTTTTTCTTTGTAATGTCAATTCTGGTTGTGTAAGTAAATGAGAGCTTGTTGGAGTTTTAGCATTCTGATGTCATTGTTTTAAAGGTTTAGAAACACAAAAGTACCGAAAATTCAAACACATGGAAGCAGTGTGGAAAGATTAAAGGATAAGGCTGAGTGAAAAACTGAATCTGTTCATAGTCAACTAAAACAAAGCCCGAATGTGCTTTTTGGTTTATTTTAACCTTTTTGTTTTTGTGGTGCTAGGATGAAACCTATGGTTTTACACATGCTAGACAAGCACTCTACTAGTGAGTACCTGGCCAGCCCTGCTTTAAAGTTCATTATGGAAAACTTCAAACCTATACAAAAGTAGAGTAACAATATAGGGATTCTCCACTAACTTGCTTTATTTAATTATTACGTCTCTTTATTTCTTTGCTACATAGTAAGCCTAGATACCTGATTATTCCAAAATTAGCTATAGGAGTTTGATTTTTTTTTATGCCAATTATAGTGTCAACAATAGGAAACATGTAATTAACAGGTAAACAAATCGATGATTAAATTCCTGATAAGGATCCTCTCTTCTCTGATTTAAAGGTCCCCAGGGAAGCTTTTGACCAGGAATGCTGTAGAGCTGACACCCTCAGCCCTATTCGTCTAGATTAGGAACCCCATGGTGTGAGCACTTGATGCTTCACGAAGACCAGAAACTAAATTAAGAATAGCAGTGCAGAACTTGTGTTTCGTGTAGTCGTTATGCTTATGTTCCTCCTGTGCTTTCCGTTCTTCATTGCATCTTTCTTTCTCTAGTACTTAAATGTGTCCCAGTAAACAGAGAAATGCCAGAGGGGGCTAAGGCAGGTCCACGTCCATGTTGGGACAGTGATTCCTGCTTGTAAAACAGCATCAAAATTTCTGAATTAAGATGTAAATATTTGAGTATGTAGCTACATAGAGTTTTGTTTGCCCTTTGAAGTTTTAAGAATAATATAGAGAATTCTGGTATACCCTTTGATCTAGATTTACCAAGTGTTAGCATTTTATATTTGCCTAATCATTCTCTACTTTTTTTCAGGACCTTTTGTGAGTAGCTTGCAGATATCATAGAAGAGTGTGAAGAGTTTTTATAAAAATGTAGTGACCACTATTCATTGTACCATTACTATAGTCTGGCACACTAAATAGCAAAAGCTTTGTCTAAATTAACATCATTTAATCCTTATGGCCCGATGAGGTGAATGATGATACTGTGTTCATTTAACCAGTGAAGTTGTTGAGGCCCAGAAAAATTTAGATAAGGATATGTAACTGATAAGAAACAGAGCTAGAATTTGCATTGAGGTCTCTGTGGCTTCACCTTTGAACCACTCTCACCCCCGAGTAAGCATATCATGTTTCCAAAGACTAAAAATCACTGCATAGTGATTCTGTGCTGAGGGTGAGAAGCAGGCTCATGGGAGTGAGAAATGGTCTTCAAATCCTTCTTAGTTCTCCAGTCCTTCACTCCAGCCACTTTTGAATCACTGGATTAACTTAAATGACCAAAAAAAAAAAAAAAAAGTGAAAATAAAGCCTGCTGAGAAGTAAGGTATAAAACAGCTCTTTATAGAAATGGATATTTGGGGGAAATGCTTCATATTCATGGATTTCATTTTGCTTCATTGTAGGCCAAGCAGATCGAACTTCAGTTCACTATTGGTGAAGCAATCACCAGTGCTGCAATAGGAACTCACTCTGTGGCTGCCCGAGATGCCTGGCTGGTGACTGAGGAAGAGTATACACCTCCTGCTGGTATCAAATACTTACCTAATTGACTTACAGTTGCTGAGTGCCTTTCTTCTGTTCTCTGTCAGATTTGAGACAAAAATAATTTTCCCCCAAATATTGATACATGCCTTCTAATTTGGTCTGTCATGGAGAATGGTTGATTAAGTAAGATTGAACAAACTGAGTGATGGTGGTGCATACCTTAAATCCCAGCACTTGGGAGACAGACGCAGGTAGATCTCTGTGCATTTGAGGCCAGCCTGGTTTACAGAGCTAGTTCTAGGACAGCTAAAGCTGTCTTAAACCAAAAAGGGGGGGGGGGCATTGAACATAGCTGGGCATGGTGGTGCCAACATTCAGGAGGCAGAGGCAGGAGAGTCTCTGAGTTCAGTGGCCAGACTTGTCCACATATTGAGTTCCAGGCCAGCCAGAGCTACATAGTGAGATCCTGCCCTCATCCGCCGCCCAACCCCCCCCCCCCCCCCCAAAAAAAAAGATTGACTATAAAAATGAGACCTTTCCCATCTTCTTATATCTAATTCATTACTACATAGTGGAGTTCCACTGTCCCCTACTAGTACTGGAAGTGTGCTAGAATTTAATGACTACATAATTGAGAGAGTATGTATGTGATTCCTGAGTATATGTTACAGAGAGTAAAATTTCAAACTAAGATGATATATGTCTGTAATCCCAGCACTTGGGAGGCTGAGGCAGGAGGATTGCAAGTTGAAGGACATGTGGGCTATATAGTGAGACTTTGTCTCAAAAACAAAACAAAACAAAACAAAACAAAACAAAACAAAAAACCAACAAAAATAAAGTCAAGGTCTAGCAAGACCACTCAGCAAGTAAAGGTGCTTGCTGCCAAGCCTGATGGCCTGAGTTCTGTCACTGGACCCACATGGTGTAGAACCAACTCTAGCAAAGCTGACCTCTCAACTTCTACATTTGTATTATGGCATGAACTTTCTTGCATGTGTTCACATGTATACACACAAAAAGAATAAGCTTAATTTTAAAATTAAAGAAAAAACAACAAAGTAAAACAAAAAATCCAAAATACAAACTCAGATGTCTCCTTGGGTTGATTTGAAATTAGAATTGAAAATATATTTTAGTATTCAACCAGGATTTTTTTTAATCTTTAAGGCTAAAAAAAAAAATCATGACATGTTTGTATTTTATCTTCTTAGTTGGGAAAATTAAATAAGAATGTTTTTATGGTAACAATGCCATTATAAATTGTATTTCATAAGGAATATAGTTATTGCACTTAGTGTTGTAGTTAACATTTATCACTGTGTATCATCTTCACCTATTATTTTGTTATCTATCAGAGAGACTTAAAAGAAATAGGAAAACCATTTTTCTTGCAGTGTAAGTATGATGACTTGGTTGATGGAGGCCAAACTAGCTCTCCGAGGCTTTTGTTTGAACACATGAGATAAAACAAGTCTCATTTGTATAATGGAAGGGAGAAGGACCATTCATCCAGCCACAGTACTATTGGGATTGGGAACCCTAAAGTAATGAGGAAAAGAGACAACTGTGTTTTAGCTGGAGGACAAAAGTGAAATGCAAAGATATTGCTTGGTTTGTTTTTAGATGGAAGTTTAGAAAGTTTTAGTAAAGAAAAGTTTCTGAGATTGAAGAGAGTGGGATAATTTTTCATTCCAATGAACTAGAGTTATTTGATACTTTAAAAAGGTTCTTGTTTATGTTAGCTCCTGGACATTCTTGGTCATTTAGATTTTAACATCAGGTTATTATATGATTGTTGATTTAAATGTGATTTTTTTCAAGGAAATTATATTTGAGCATTTTAATTGTCATCTTCCTTTGCTTTTTCCTCAGGTGCCAAAGTGAATGATGTTGTCCCTTGGGTTTTAGAAGTTATTTTAAGTAAGCATATTATCAGCCCCAACCCACATGTGAGGCAAGCAGCCTGCATCTGGCTCCTTTCACTTGTGAGGAAGCTAAGTACCCACATAGAAGTGAAGGTGAGCTTCATAATATGCATTGTATATGTGATAAATTCTGTAAGGATCCCAGAGTATTTATAAATTAAAATAAGAAGAAAATGTATGAAGGTTGGAATCATTAAAAAAATCACAGAAGTTCTGAAGTAAGCTCCATGTGAAGTAGTGAAGGATGGTGATCTGATTAATACTGGCAAGAAAATGATCCAAATGTGAAGATGTAAAGTCAAGAGTGCTAAGAAGGGGGACACTCATATTAGGACAAAGGTTAGACTGAATGCTTAGACTACCTGTGAGGGGTACAACTTCTAGTAAGATGGACATCTCTAAAGATGAAGGAATGGAAAGGTTCGTGACTGCCTTGGTCCTAAGACTCTCTGGTCTCAATGCACGTTAACAGGGAGATGCTTGTTTCTCAAGAGAGAGAGGATTTCAGTGCTAATGCCTTTTCTCTTCTTTCAGTCTCATCTTAAGGAAATTCAGAGTGCGTTTATTTCAGTTCTGTCAGAAAACGATGGTAGGTTGTTGATAAATACTTGACCTGTCAGCTTCTTTAAATGTGTATTTTAAGTTTTAAAAGTATGGGTCAATGAATTGTAGCACAAAACGTTCTGAGCCATGTGAGTAGAACGAAGCAAGCCATATGTATGCCTTTAATTCCAGAATGTGGCAGATAAGAGGCAGGAGGATCGTGAGATTCTGTCTCTACCCCCGAATTTTATTTAAGACGTGGACTTGTATTCCCTTTATTTTTCTAAAATTAGATATGGGTGTCTTAAAATTCTAGATAGTTTGTTATCTCGAATATAAGCAGCATATGTTGATATTCTGATACCGTGGTTATTACTGTCACACTAGTTTATTGGCCTTTGATCATGATTCTCATATTTGTTGACTCATGATGCCATGTCCACTGAGTTGATTTAGGAAAATAGAGTGATTTCTGCTTTCATATCTCTACTTTTATATAATTTTAGAGTAAAGATAATTACTTGAAAGAAAATAATTGGCCAGGAGACAAATTTCTTTTAGAATAGTATAATTTTGTCTACCTTTTTTGTAGAACTCAGCCAAGATGTTGCCTCAAAAGGGCTTGGGTTGGTTTATGAGCTGGGCAACGAACAAGATCAGCAAGAATTGGTGTCTACACTTGTAGAAACACTTATGACTGGCAAAAGGTATAGTGAATTTTAAAATTTCAGATATCAATACATAGGACATTGAAACTATGATATGGAAGAAGGAAAAATTCAACCTTCTACTTTCTCATTAAGCCATTGCATATTAATGATTGTTAACACAGTTTAATTATCCCAGTGTATATACTGTTTACTTAGAAACATTGTACTAGGTCATGGTTTCAAACTTGAATCATCCCATGACAATTAAAAGCATCAGGTTAGAAAAATCACTGTAATACCTTCTTTGGCTAAAAAAAGTTAAGATATAATGAATAAACTTGAATGTCATTCATATTCTGATCTGTGATGAGTGCATGGAGGTAGATTGGTTTTGTAATTGCTTACTGCTTTCTGTTGCTTCCTTTTGGGAAGGGTAGTTTTATGTGTGACACATTGGCAGTAACTCTATATAGAAATCTTTAATATCTGTGAATTTGTTTTGTTTGTATTTGAGTTTAGAAAATTTTCAGTCTGATAGAATAGTTTCTATCTTTCATATACTAGATACAGATTTTATCAATTTGCAGTCCATTTGCTTATTAGTTGGTATGGAAAATTTGAAGCTAATTTAAATTGTTTGTTTTAGAGCTAAACATGAAGTTTCTGGAGAGACAGTGGTATTTCAAGGGGGAGGCCTTGGCAAAACACCTGATGGGTAAGTGTGCTAAATCTAAATCCATCGATCAACTAGGGCAGAGCAATAATGTTGTTTGTTGATGGATAAATAAAAAACGATATGGTTGGGGGGACCCTACTGTTTTAGATTAGGTTTCCTTGGAAGCAGACTATGAGCTAGAGATTTGTATGCTGGAAGGTGATTGTCCTTGGGAGGGTTCAGCAAGTAGACTGCTGATGGTAGAGGGAAGTTGTGTACAATATGATGAGTTACTGAGTTCTCTTCCAAGGTGCAAAGAGCTTCACTTCCATGGGACATACAGGTGCATTTTAGGTATTGTGTTTGTTACTACCAAATACCTGATAAAAAAATTGACTTAGAGTAGAAGGGTTTATTCTGGTTCACATTTGGATGCTGTAAGATCCGTCATGGAAGGGAAGGAATGGTGGTAGCTGACTCTGTGGTTGTAGGAGTGTTTAGTTGGGACTCTACCTCCTGACCTCTTGGACTAGAAAGAAGATATGGCGCAGGAATTGGTACTGGGCTATAACACATCAAAGCTCATTCTTTAGTAACTCCTTCCTCTAGACAACAAAGATCAGCCTCTTAGAGATTCTACAACCTTCCAAAACAGCACCATGAGCTGGGCACCAAGTATTCAAACACATGAGCCTATGAGAGGCATTTCACATTCAAGTCACAACAGGTATTTACCAGCAGAAAGACTTAGGAATAGTTGATAATTGAGGTATATGACTTTTTATATTCTTGTTTTCTGTCTCCTCAGTGATGATAATGGTATTAGCAACTGAGGGAAAGAACAGTTTAAAAGAATATCCCTGTAATAATTGATGGTAAAATTCACATCAACCCAAAATAGCTAGAAAAATGTTTTATTATGTTTTTCTTTTTGTTTGTTTCAAGCCAGGGCCTTTCTACTTACAAAGAGCTTTGTTCTCTGGCAAGTGATCTTAGTCAGCCAGATCTTGTATATAAATTTATGAATCTGGCAAATCATCATGCTATGTGGAACTCCAGGAAGGTAAGTTGCTATATTGTTTTGTTTCTTTCTTAAATTTTTGCTGGTGGTCAAACCCAGGGCCTCATGCATATGTGACAAGTGCTCTACTACTGAATGATATACTCCCAGCTCTCACCAGCCATGCAGTGCCAGTTGATGTGTAGTCAATTTTGAAAAGTCTGTGTCTGAGAGCCGGACTACCATATTAGCCTTTATTATTGCTGAAGCTGGAGTACTAAATAATGTTCTATTCAAGGACAAATTTGAGAAAGCATATTTTGTGGCCTTTTTGTATTTAATATATTAGTATTTTGCTGTGGCAGGCATGTATAAATTATTCTTTTTGTTATTTTTAGGGTGCTGCTTTTGGTTTTAATGTAATTGCTACCAGAGCTGGAGAACAGCTGGCTCCTTTTCTGCCTCAACTCGTTCCTCGACTTTATCGTTACCAGTTTGATCCCAATCTCGGAATTCGACAAGCTATGACAAGTATTTGGAATGCATTGGTCACTGACAAGTCAATGGCAAGTATCTGTGAACCTGTGTTTTAGGAAACACTGTAGCTTGCCTGTGCTACCACATAGGATTAAAACTCAATGTCCCCTGCACTTTGTATACAGTTTCTTTGCTTCCATTGCTTGTTGTTTGCTTTTCCTTTCAAAGATATTGTAACATTTATTGAGATCTCAAAAATGAAAGTGATCTAAATGTTCATTTGGGTAGATAGATAACTAAAAGAATGACAGTATATTCACACAAATAGAATATTATGTGTTACCAGGGATCACTGATGCACAAATCTGTGCTTAAAGAGTTACTTTAGTTGGGAAGACAGACCAAAGAAATAGTTGCCATATATTGCTTTTCTTGTTCTGTCATCTGACTGTTGATTACATTCTATCCTCCTTTCAGATATGAAGGTTTCTCAGAAACTGCCTCTGAATACTGTTGTCCTCTTAGCTTTCCTTGTACTAATTCCTGGGCAGATAAACATTCTGTTCATTGTAATCGTTCTTAGTTCTGTACTGGCTCAGATAGGACATGTACTCCATCCATTTTTACAGATCTAACTGCCTGCTGGATGTCTTCACTTGACTGTTTTTTACATGTACCATAACTGTAACATGACATATAAAGAGCTGAAAAGAAAAAAGACACCTTTCCCTTTCCTGTACTCTCACTGGTCATATATTTGTCCAAGCCGGGAAACTTGCTGTCTGTGTCTTATAAACCCCTCAATTCCACATTGAATTTAGGAGCAGTTTATGTTGAGTCTGTTGCACGAATTCTCAAATGGTCTTCTAATAAAAAACCCAGAGCCAGGTATTGGGGTAATGCTTAGAGATCAGAGAGACAAAGGAACAAGCCACTGCCAGGTCTCACCTTACCAACTCCACGAATCCTCTGTTGGAACACCTCTAAGTCCTCAGCCAAAAGCTCTCCAGCCGAAAAGGCCTCTAGCCAAAAAAGTTCTAGTTCCTGTCTCCTCACGCCTTATATACCTTTCTCAGCCCAGCCATATCACTTCCTTCTTAGTGCTGGGACTAAAGGCGTGTGTGCTTCCTAAGCAAAGGCATGAGATCTCAAGCACTGGGATTAAAAGCACATGATTCTCAAGTATTGGGGTTAAAGGCGTATGCCTACTCTCTGGCTCTGTTTCTCTCCTATACTGAGTCAATCTCATATAGTCCAGGGTGGCTTTGAACTCACAGAGATCTAGACAGATCTCTGCCTCCCAGGTGCTAGGATTAAAGGTGTGTGCCACCACTGCCTGGAATCTGTGGTTAATCTAGTGACTTGTTCTGTTCTATGTTTTTCAGGCAAATTTTACTAGGGTATACAATATATTACCACAAGACTGCTTTTATCAAGTGTTCCTTGAATCCACTCTGGTCCTGATTCTTTCCTGATGAATAGGTCATCATACCTTTTTCTTCTCTTTTCCCTGTGTTTAATTTATCTACATAGTAGCAAAAGTGATTTTTAAAATTGCAAATTGAATTTTGGTTAAAATTCTTAAATGGATTTTTAGTTCATATTTTTTTCTTTCTAATATTGGAGTTTGAATCCAGGCTCTTAAACATGCTAGGCAAGTGCTCTACCACTGATACTATTTCCCAAGACCCCTTTAAAAAGTACTTACTTTGATACAAGATTTTGATCTGATTCAGACTGGGTCTTAAACTTTTGTGCTTCTTGCCTCAGCCTCCAGAATAGCTTAGGTTATAGGGGTTCACAACTACTTTCAGCTTGCAATTTACTGTTACAACTGAGTCTACCATCAATTTGTTATCACCAAAGCTTAGATCATACTCACTCATCCTTCTTTACCTGCACCTTACAAGACCTGGAACATAGTATAGTTCTGTCCTCCTTCTTTCATATGACACAGAGTATATTCCTACTCATGGTTGTTGGTATTTGAGGATTCAACTTTGAGGGTTCTTTGAATTCTATTTGCTCTAGGATAGGATGTGGTACATCTGGGTCAACCAGGACTTAAAAGGCTAATGGGAGTTATGGATATGAGTTCAGGTTACAGGCCTTGGCTCTTGAGATGTGGGCATGATCTTTGAGTGAGTGAACTCTTAAGCCACAATTGTGATGAGACACATATGGAAATACAGGAGGGGATATGGGAAGCTGTTTATTTAATTTTAAGTGAGTTATTTACTTCTCTGTTTTGATCATCTAACATGTAAGTGAGCATAACAAAACTTAACTACAAGAGTAAAAGTGAAAAAGTTGAGAGTCCTTTTAGATCTGTTGGTGTAACAACTGAGTCTACCATCAATTTATTATTACCAAAGCTTAGCTCAAACTCATTTAACCTTCTGAACCATATAATACTTACTTTTTCACCAAACACTGCCATTGAGGTCTCCAGTGTATAGAGCAGTACAGTAATGTAAAGACAGTGCATTTCTTCTGAGAAAACCTTAAGAAGGTGCTGTGGGTATATGGAAGAGAGTTGGTAGAACTTCTCTGAGTGATGGCCACTCTGAATCTCCATGGGCAAAAAGGAGTTACTCAAGTTGGACATGGAAGAGGATTGTAGAGGTAGTATGTGCCAGGTTATAGAACTAAGACCAGACAAGATACCTGTATGTCAAGATGAGTCACACTGGGCTTGTATCATATAAAGCCCAAGTGATTAGACTTTATTCTCATGCACTATGGAAAAGGATTATCTATCTTTACATTTTAGAGTGCTTGCAAAGTGCTGAGAGATTTGTAGGTGCAGGGACTTAGGAATACTTTAATAAAGAAAGTGATCAGTGTTGTTGAGAGGTAAATAATGTGATTGTTGGATTTTATATTTTTCATTTTATCTTTTGCTTTCATTAGGTGGATAAGTATTTGAAAGAAATTCTTCAAGATTTGATTAAAAACCTTACCAGCAACATGTGGCGAGTTCGAGAATCCAGGTACCTTGGATTTTAGATTAACCAAGTAGAGCTGGAAAATTCCCCTTCAAATTTCTAAGGTTTTTACATGATGTAATAAAAATTAAGTTAAAACCACCAATAAATATATTTTTAGTTGAGTTCTTTTTCTTTAACTATTTGAACTCTACTAGGTGATTTGCCAAAATTAGCTTATGTAAATATGAACTTTATGAATCTCTGGATCACTTGTTAAACTGGTAGATTTCAAGTTGTGTAATTTCATGGCTTCATAGGGTAGAATTTCTTCATATATGCATTTTGTACTCATTTGATGCCTCTTATGTGCTTGGTGATATATGAGACATTGAGAGCACATAGGTGAGTTAAAAGTGGTTTATTGGTGTATCATTCAAAGGGATTAAATTATATAGTTGTAGGAATTGTCACTTAGTGATTTGTGTCCTATGTGATATATTTGAGGTAATACTAGAATAATTATGATTGTCTTGTGGGGGAGAGGCTAGGACTAGACATACAGATGGAGTCTATATTATTACTCGATATAACTATTTAGTGGTAAAATATTGGACTTGCTTGGTCATGTATTTGAAATCAAATTTTTATTTTCAGCTGTTTAGCTTTGAATGAGTTATTGAGAGGAAGACCTTTAGATGACGTCATTGACAAACTTCCAGAAATGTGGGAAACACTTTTTAGAGTACAAGATGATATTAAGGTATAGAAATAAATCTACGTGTATGTATAGACTAATTTAAACTGAAATCATTTAAATATGCTATAGGTTTTTTAAATGCATGTGTTTCAAAATTCCTTGTCCAGACAATTTTAGGAAACCATAGTTTTATCTCCAGCTTTGATGTACATGTTACGTTACAAATTTGGGTATCTTTTATTTAGGTCTAAACTGAAATGACTTAAAGAAGGTGGCTTCAGCATGCTTTTTCTTTCAGTAGAAATCTCATGATGCTGTTGTATTAGGAGCAAATACCCATTTGGAAGTAATTCATAGGATTAAAGTTTCAAAAATTAGGCATTCATTTCTAAATAATGTGATTAATGAAAAAAAAAACCTCAGTTTTTCTTGAGTATTTTGTTGCTTCATATTACTATAGAACTGAGATAATTTATAAAGGGAAATAGTTTAGCTATTTTGGAGGTTATTATTTATCATAGATGGACTCTGGACCTATGATAAGGCGGTCAAAGTCTGAGATAGAAAACATTTACTTGGGGTAGAGAACAAAGAGAAGGAGGAAGAGTCTGAGGCCCCATAGTCTCCTTCAAGGGCTTGTTCTCAGTGTTCTAGACTTTCCATCCCTCTCTGAGGTTCTAGAGATGCCTCTCTGGGGACCCAGCCTTTAGCACATAAATCTTTTGAGAATAGTCAAGATCCAACTAAAGTACTGGATTATCTAAATTTTAAACTATTTGGACATCCTTAAAATTAGACCACTAGGCTTGTCTTTCTCATTGGTTTATTTATTAGAAAATGTTAATTCTATTAGAATCTCACAGAGATTTTTATGTATTTACTTTTATACTACATTTTATTTTTGGACTGCTAATGACTATTTTTATATGGGCAAAAATAGATAAGATATATATGTTCCTTAATAGGCAAAGAGCCCAATGAAATACTATATACTTAAACCTGTTATTGAAAGTTATGTTTTACTATTTTACATTAGGATCTAAGGTAGTTAATAATGCATTATAGAATAGAAAAGAATGAATGCTGTCTAATATGTATAATGCCAGACTTTTCTCATTTTTAGGAATCTGTACGGAAAGCAGCAGAACTAGCTCTGAAAACTCTGAGCAAGGTGAGAATACTCATCTCCCAGTGGGATAGAGTAGGGTAGGACTCACCATGGACTTGACATTGATTTTTATTTTTTGTCATATGACATAATGTTGCCTTAATTGGCTTGCATAGTTTACTGCTCTTACAGTGAATAAGAAAGTGGGTTTTGTTACACTAAGGGTAGTGTATCTTAAGCACAATATACCTCTGGTTTCTTTAACTGCTGAGACCTCTACATGAGGTATACCTTTCCTTTAACCCCAAAGACCACATTACTCACTTAAATGAAGCAATATATGTCTTCTTTTAATACCTTCCCCAAATTTACAAGGTTGGCAGGCTTTTTGAAACCAAATAGTTTGCCCCATGGATTTATTTTTGTAATATATATTCTAATTGCATAAGCCTTGTCATTGATCACATTACTCAGTAGTAAAAACATGTTTTAAATCCAGGTAGGTGCCTTTCATGTCTAGGTTTGTGTTCTTTACCAGAATTTGTCCTGCCTTTTAAAAAGTGCTCTCTTACACATCTTCACATCTTCAGCTCCTTTGTTCCTCATTATACAAATCAGAAAGTAGAAAATTAGAAAATACAATATATTATCAGATTTTCTGATTAGATATGGCAGATCTTTAGGAGCCGTATTTGGTCATTCCTCTATCTCCTTCCAGCCTCCATAGTACATAGAAAGTAGACTCACCTGCTCTTTATTCCTGATAGTGACATAAAAAAGCACTTTTTCAGAGAAATGCTTCATAGTCGAGAGGCCAGCTTCACTAATGTCCATGCTCTTTGTATGTGAGGTTTGTGTGAAAATGTGTGACCCTGCCAAAGGAGCAGCTGGCCAGAGAACCATTGCTGTCCTCCTGCCCTGCCTTCTGGACAAAGGAATGATGAGTCCTGTGACGGAAGTCCGAGCCCTCAGGTGTGGTTTGGTTGAAGTGAATGTATTGAAATGATTTAGTTTCTAGCCAGTCTGTAGAAAATGTGTTTTCTTGAATGCTAGATTCCTAAAAATATGGAAAATGGACTGAGGAGAATCCATTGAGGTAACCCAAGCATTTATGAAAAGATGTGTCATAGTATTTTTATAGTCCTATTTCATGGGAACCTTGATTTGAACTAGCATTCTGAGTTGCATATTATTCTATTGTCATTGGCCCCTTTCCTTAGCAAGCACGTCTTCCATATGCCACAGGTCTTCAGGGGCTTGCTTGTTGGGTATAACCAACTGTTTTGCTGTCTTTGGTAAACTAATCCATGTGATGGTTGTTAATGGTGCCTAAACCTACTGCCTGAAAGGCAAATGTGGAACTTAATGAAGGTTCAGACTGGCCAAACTTGAGCCCAGTGATGACTCTAATAGTGTAAAATTATATGACAGGCTATGCATTCTGATATGGTGGGATGAGACACATACAGCATTGCTTATGAAAGAGCCTTGGTTGTTTGGGAGGCAGAGTCTATCCAAATATCTCACTTTGGCCCTGTGTTTGCTATATGCAACCCAGTCTGGCCTCAAACTAGTGATCTTCTGGCCTCACACTTCAGAATGTTGGCATTACTGGCATAAGCCATATTTATAAAATAATTGAACCTTTACTTGGTAGCCTACATATGTATGTACATGAGATATGTTAGCACAACTGGAATATAATCAGTGAGATCAAATGAGAGAAAAAGAGAAAGGATGAGACTGTTAAAAAGTCTCAAGAACGAAGCCAGTGTGGTGGCACATACCTTTAATTCCATCACTTCAGAGGTAGAGGCCATCAGATCTCTGTGAGTTCAAGATCAGCCTGGTCTACATAGCAGATTCCAGGTCAGTCAGTGCTTTACATAATGAGACCCTGTCTCAAAAATTAACCAAACAAAAGAAAACAAACCAAAAAAGTTTGAAGATGGCAGTGGATAGACTTTGATCTCTGAATCTGGATTCCAACCAATTATTTTTTTGAGATAAAAGTTTTGATATGTAGCCAAGGCTGGCCTTGAGCTCTCAGCCACCCATCTTAGTCTCCCAGGCATTCACCACAGTCAACTCTTAAAGGAAATTTCTGGGGCAATCAGAAAAACTCAGATTTTTAAACGAGACGTTATTAGTATTATTATTTTTTTTTTTGGTTTTTCGAGACAGGGTTTCTCTGTGTAGTTTTGCGCCTTTCCTGGAACTCACTTGGTAGTCCAGGCTGGCCTCGAACTCACAGAGATCCGCCTGGCTCTGCCTCCCGAGTGCTGGGATTAAAGGCTATTAGTATTTTTTAAAAGAATAAAAATGTTGTAATTGTGGTAAAGTACTCGTAGAGACATACATACTGAAATTTTATTAGCTTAAAGCAATACAAAGCAGGGGGGAAATTGTACTTAAATGTATGAAGAGATTACAAATGAAGTAAAATTGGCCATTGTCACTAATGGTTGAAATAGGTAAAGAGGACAAGGAATTTCACCTTGGACCTCTCTATGTTTTATGTGTGCTTGTTTAAAAATATCTGTAATTTTTTTAAGTGCCAACAGACCTGGGTTCAGTCATAACCAGAAACCCCACTTCCTACTTGCCTGGATCAGGCTTTAAACCGTATGAGTATATACCTGAATGCAACTGCAGAACATCCTCATGATTAGATTGTAGAACTTCTTATATTTGGTAAAAAGACTCAGAGTTTGTGTTCTGTGTGTCTAGCATTAACACCCTTGTGAAGATCAGCAAAAGTGCAGGAGCCATGTTGAAACCACATGCACCCAAACTCATCCCAGCACTGCTAGAGTCCTTAAGTGTGTTGGAGCCTCAAATTCTCAATTATTTGAGTCTCCGTGCTACAGAACAAGAAAAGGTGAGTTGATAGCAGAAGTTGTTGGTTAGTATTGACGAGGTGTGAGCACTCTTAAGATCTATCCAGTGTCCGTAGACAAACTCTGTAACTGATGGTGTTTTCACTCTTTTTTTTTTTACTTTTATCTGCATTTATTTTATGCGGAATTTATTCCCGTGCCATAAGTTTTTGTTTCTTCAGTTTCTTCTGGGATATCTTCTTCTTCTGCGCAACCTCCTCTTCTGGCTTTGGAACAGTTTGTTCCTTTTCAGTGAGGACCATCTCGATGTGGCAGGGGAAGCTCATGTACAGGTTAATCCAGTCATGAGCTCTGTAAGTCCGTCGGCGCTTCTTAGGTGCTTTGTTCACCTGGATGTGTTCAATGACTAGAGAATCCACATCCAAACCCTTAAGTTCAGCATTACTCTCTGCATTCTTAAGCATGTGCAGCAAAAATTCAGCACTCTTTTTAGGCCACCGACCCTGTGTCCAGCCCCACTGTTTGGCCTGGGTGCACCTACCGACTCCACCATTATACCGCTGGAAAGGCACACATTGCTTCTTTAAAGTGACATCTTTCAGATATTTGGTGGCTTTTCAGATATGCATACCCTTGATGGCCTGGGCAGTTTCATGGGTGTTCTTAAAGTGAACCCGAAGATTTGAACCTCTTGATTTGCATGATTTCGTGGGGTTTTCTGGGCAAGCGAGTAGCGAACCATCTTCACAGGTCACCTTAGGCCGCTTACAGGAAGAGCGGTGTTTTCACTCTTTAAACACTACATGCAATGGATTTTCTTTGTTAGTTTTTTAGATTTTTTTTTTTAAGGGGGAAAGCCCTGTCCAGCTCATATATTTTCTTGTTAATCAGATAAAAATCGACAGCCCCGGCGCCTCCCCGCAGAGACAAGGGTTTCTCTGTGTAGCCCTGGCTGTCTTCAAACTTACTCTGTAGACCAGGCTGCAGAGATCCACCTGCCTCTGCCTCTGAGTGCCAATATTAAAGGCATGTACTAACACTACTTGACTAAAATTGACAACTTATTAACATAATTTTAACAGTCTAAAAATTATTTTTACATTTTTTTAGGGGGTGGATCTATACCTAGACTTTGGTCTAAAATTGTTCTGCTTTGTCTTTGATCAGTTATTTTTTATAAGTTGTGTATGACACATTTATTAAGGAAAAATGAAAGCAACCTGGAAGGGTAGAAAACAGTCCCCTAGAGGTCTCCACTATAAACAGTTTCTTGGGGCTTTTAAAAATTCTTTCATAGTCATAAGCTACAAAGCCACCAGATACTCAATTTAAAAACTAAATCAGAGGCAGGCCGTGGTGGCGCACGCCTTTAATCCCAGCACTCGGAAGGCTGAGGCAGGTGGATCTCTGTGAGTTCGAGGCCAGCCTGGTCTCCAAAGCGAGTTCCAGGAAAGGCACAAAGTTACACAGTGAAACCCTGTCTTGAAAAACAAAACAAAACAAAACAAAAAAACAAAAACTAAATCAGAGTTTGATTATTGTTGTGTAACTGATTTTTAATTTAATAGGGCATAATGTCTGTATGTTTTATTTTCTTTTTAATTCATTCATATTAAAGTCAGGTGGCTATAATTTTGTAGGGAGGTTTTATAACAGGTTTTAGAATAATAACCCCCCTTTTCTCTGTATCTTTGATACCATTAAATAGTTGAGTAGCATCAGTCTTATAAGCAAGATTCTTACTGTTACATATTTTGAATTTTTCTTTTATATACATTGTCCCATTGTCTTTTTATATTCTCTTAGCTCTAGCTTTCTTATCCCTCCTCCCCAATATAACTCAGACCTTATGCTTGGAGCACTCACTGAGCTAAATCCCTAATTTTGGAGGCTAGAGAGCTATCATAGTAGTTAGCTACTCTTGTAGAGGTCTGGAGTTCAATTCTTAGCACCCACATTGGGCATTTCATAATCTTCTGTAACTCTGACATTTGTGGACATGCACAATCCCTTGCACTTGCCTCTCCCCTATACTTAAAAAAAACAAATTTTTAATCCCTAATTCCTGTTAGCTATTTATATATTTCTGTGAATTTTGCTTTATTCTATGCTTAGCTTCCCTCCCTGCCTCTCTCTTTTAAAAACACAATTTCTTTATTGATTCTTTGGGAATTTCACATCATGCACCCTAATTCCACTCACCTCTCTGTCTCCCCATACCCTCCCCTCACCCCTGCAGCACCATCTAAAAGAAAATTAAAACAAAAAAAATCAAACCAAACCAAACAAGCCTAAGCAAAAAACAAACAAACAAACAAACAAAAAAAGAAAAATAACTCTTCACTCCTCCATCTTTCCCATCTATAACACCTGTTCATTCATCCTGGTGGAATTGGGAGCCACGGTGTGTCACATAGTATACCCTTTTGTCCAATCAGCTTTATTAGCAAATGTTCACTGCAGAGAGTCGCTGGTCTGGTTTAAGGCCTCTGGTTTCTGATATACCATCATCACTGGATTCTCACCAAAACTCCTTTGATGGTAATCATTCCAGAGGACCGGTCCCTTCATGAGCTCCTAGATGGGGTAGATGTTAGGGTGGGTCAACCCAAGGCCCGGTGTGGGCTTGGATGGTAGCTGAACTTGTCAGTCCAGGCCACTGGGGCTGCCTGCCTCTACCCTATTCCATGCCATCAGGATCAGGGTGAGGGGTGAGGCCATCTCTTCCGAGTTCGGGGGCCAGCTCTCTTGTTGTAGTGTCTACCAAGAGACAGGGCCAGTTTTCTTAGAGCCAGTGAAGGATAAGACCAGTTCAGCATGGCCCTTTGATTTCATCACACATGGTTCCTAAGGCCCCCTGAGGTGACAGAGGCCTTAGGCATTAACACAGACTCTAGCTGCAGCTGGACCACAGACCCAGATGTGGCCCTCAGCAGCAGCCCAGGCTTGAATAACACCAGGATCCTGGGTAGCAGCACAGGCCACCCACACCAGCATGATTCCCACAGTGGCATGGTTTTCAGACACCAACGAGACCACAGGTTGTGGCCTAGACCCCACATTTCCATATGGCCTTTGGTGGTGTTATGGGCCATGGATGACCACGGACGGACTCAGACGTGGTCCTTGGCAGCAGCCTGGTCCTCACCACCTTCATTTCTGTTGTTCTGCCTCTTTCCACAGCACATAAACCATCCCACTTATTTTTTTTCTCCCATTTTTCCACCACATATTTGCTCATCATAATGGGACCTACATGCCCAGACTGGCCTGTGGGTGGCTAGCACCCACCTGAGCAGAATTGCATCAGGTGGGCCGTAGATCTTTTTTTTTTTTTTGGTTTTTCGAGACAGGGTTTCTCTGTGTAGCTTTGCGCCTTTCTTGGAACTCACTTGGTAGTCCAGGCTGGCCTCGAACTCACAGAGATCCGCCTGGCTCTGCCTCCCGAGTGCTGGGATTAAAGGCGTGCGCCACCACCGCCCGGCCTTTTTTTTTTTAAAAAAAAGCATTTATGTTTGTTTACTAGGACTGTTAGGCCTATGTAATATGCGATGTCAATGTTTTCTCTCAGTTCACTATTTCATTCTTAATTTGCATAATCTCTAATAAATTACTTTTTTGTTTGCCTCTTGATACTGTTTCTTTTTTTTAAAAAAAAATTATTGATTCTTTGTGGATTTTACATCATGCATTCTGATCCCACTTATCTCCCCATCTCCTTGCATCTGCCCTTTGCCTTTGCAAGCTCCCCCAAATCAAAACCAAATTTAAAATAAAAACCAAAAACCAAACAAAACAAAGAAACAAAAACAAAGAAAGAGTCTTGTCATGGAAGCTGTAGTGTGGCCTGTTAGACACAGTTTACCCTTTAGTTTGTTCATGTTTACTTGCAAGTGTTTATTGCCACAAGTAATTAGTCTGGTTGGAGACCTCGGGCTTCTGCTATCCTGTTGATAATGGGCTCTCACTGGGGCTCCTCTTGGATATCCTATTGTTTGTGTCATGGGGATCCTGCTGTTTTGGATCTGTAGATTCATCCCCTTCACATGCTCCAACAATTCACACTGGATTTAGTGGATGTTGGGCTGGGCCAACTAATAGCCCTGGCTCTGGGCCTGGGTGGTAGCTGGGTTGGTCAGCTCACTAGCTTTCCCTCATCATCACTACCTGGATGAGCTCTCCAGCACTGTCTTGACTAGTTAATCCAATGTACCTACAGCAAGGAGTAGGGCCAGTTCTCCTGTCTTGGGCCCTATTGCCAGGGCCCGCTCCACTGTTTTGCCCAGGCAAGGTGCAAGGCCCTCTCTCTGGATTGCTGTAGGGAGCATGAGGTGGGGTCAGCTCTCCTGCTCTCACACCCTCAGGGTTGGCTCACCTGCATCCCTGACCACAGGATCAGCTGTAGTATGCTTCCAGATGAGGTGCATGCCTATGGTGGGTGGTGGGGCCATCTTTCCTGAGTGTGGAGGCAGACTCACCCCCGAGGGATAGGGCCAGTTTGCCTGCTGCAATATCCGGTAAGAGGCAGGACCAGCCATCGCAGGGCCAGTGAGGGGTGTGGCTGGCTCAGCACAGCATGGTTCCAGTGACTCCAGTGCTAACACAGGCCATGGATCACCACAGACCCCAGCTATAGTAGGACCACAGACTCAGACATAGCCCTTGGCAGCAGCTCAGGCCAGACACACACCACCCCCGTGGCAGCACAGGCCACTCAGATCAACAAGACCCCGACAACAGCATGGCCCCCAAGTGGTGGCCAGACCCTGGGTATCCACAGAGCCCTCAGTGGCAGCTGGAGCCACAAACACCAACCTAGACCCTGGCCTTCCTGGGGCCACGGACATGGCCCTAGGCGGTGGCCCCTGCCAGGAAATCTCCATGGCAGCACTGGCCACCCAGATCAGCATTGCCCTGAGCGCTGCTCATTCCTCAGACACTGACGTGGTCTGAGGTGGCTGACCAGATCCCAGTCATCTACATGGACCTCAGTGACAACAGAAGCCCTGGACATCAACTCAGACCCTGCCCACTGTAGGGCCACAGACCCAGACATGGCCCTGTGCAGTAACTCTGACCCTGATGACATTGTAGTCTTTGGTGACAGCACAGGCCACTCAGATCAGGATGTCCCTGGTGGCAGCACAGCTCTTGGAAACCCTTGTGGCCATAGGTTGTGGCCCAGACCTTGGGCATCTATGTAGCCTTTGATGACAACATGAGCCATGGACATCAACACAGACCCTGGCTGTGGTAGGACTGTGGACTCAGACATGGTCCTAGGCAGCAGCCCAGGCCTGGATGTCACCGTGGTCCCAGATGGTAGCACAGGCCACCTGGATCAGCATGGCCCCCACAGTAGTGTGACCCTTGGACACCAAAGTGGCCCTCGGTGGCAGCTCAGACCGCAGGCCCCTGCATGATCCCTAGTGATAACATCAGCATAGGCCCCCAGCTGCTCTGGGGCCCCGGATCAAGACCTGGCCCTTGGTCATAGTCCTGGCCCAGATACCTTCCTAGATTTGGGTTGCCAGCTGGCCATCCATGTCTGCCCATTCCTTATTACCTCACCTTTCCAGATCTGCCTCTCCTCCAGCCCACAAACCATTCTTCCTCTCCCTCTCTTCCACCTCCCTACCCTGTACTGTCTCACCACGATGGTACCCAACCACCCAGTGCCAGGGCTTTTGGTTGGGTTACAGATGGCACTTGGTTGAGTACTGCCCACCCCAGCCGTAAGGGATGGCACGGAGCTGTTGCCTTTCCTCTCTCCCATGCCCGGGCCTAGAGACCTCCAGCAGTACTTGGTATGATGATACCTCTGGCGCTGGGCAGTCTCCTGGTTGATTGTGAGCCCTGCAGACCCAAGTCTGTGAGTGTGTGGGGGCTTTCTTTATTCATTATTCTTTCCTTTCAGTAGTAGGGTTGCCACCTCCTGTACAGTGCTTACTAGGGATTGAGAATTAGGGAGCATAAATTCTGTCCATGCTTGGCAAACCTTAGCAGATCACTTTTGCATGCCTTTCTTTCTCTGGATAGTGATTTCCCCTAGCATAATTTTATTAAAATATCTTTGTAGATATGAATCCACATTATAAAGTTAAAGAATTAAATGAATTACACACACACACATGCACTGTTTGTTTTTGTTTTGTTTTTTTTTTTTTTTTGCTTAGACAACTTTTGTTGTGTAGAAATTTCATGTATTCTCTTTTTAAGTGGATAGAGAACCTGAGCCCCAAGAAGGCCTATTGACTTGAGTAGAGCCATAGTATATTTGTTAGTAAGTGAATGCATTAGTTCATTTTGTGTAGTTCTAGTGATTGATCCCAGGGCCTTATGCATGCTGAGCGTACAGTGTACTCGTGATGCATCACTGCCCATCTGTTTTGTTTATTTCTAACTGTTGTCTGAATTTCTGACCTTTAGGGAGATATTCATTGTACAGTTAAATTGTTACGTGAGGTCAGAAGATACTAGAATTAGAATTTCACCTGGGTTCATTAGTGATTATTTATTTAAATGCCTTTAATTTGGAAATAAGACCCTTTAATTGGAGTTTATGTGCCTAATTCATAATTAATGAAATGTCCTGAGTGACTCGAGTTTGTGCTCTTTAGGTTGTAATGGACAGTGCTCGGCTCACTGCCGCCAAGTCCTCTCCCATGATGGAGACAGTCAACATGGTGAGTTTCCAAATACAATTGAAAAGCTCATTGGCTTCTCTTGAAGTGCAGTTCTTCAGACTTTATGCTGTGTAACATGAAACAAGCTGAAGGGGAATGCCTTCATAAAATACTGTGAATGCAGTGTTTTCTTTTGAAAATTGTAAGTTTTTAACTGGTATATAAAAACTGTACGTATTTATGGGCATTTTTCTTAATTACTAATAGGAGTAAATTTTCTCGGTAGCAGAATTAGTCCAAATTTGTGTTACATGGAAAACAACATATTAAGAGATCTATCTATAAATCTATATCGATTTATCTTTTAGTCTGCTTATTTTAGAAAGATTCAGAGGTGTGTTATTTATTTTATTATTATTATCATTACTTTTTGCCTGCCTCTGAGAAATTTCTTTGGAAAGGACCCTGATGGTGTAAGCTTAAAGGTATCTTAATGAAGTAGGTAGCACAGAAGATAGGTGGCAGAAACTGAGCAATACTGATGTGTTTCAGATGTCAGAACATTTTGTAGTGAAGAATTCATGGGGCTTTGAGGTTCTGAGTTCTGCAGTTCTCAGAGTCTTGACAGAGTCACCGTTTGGGCATTTTTGTAGTGACTATTAAGAGCTTGCAGGCTCCTGGGAATTGTTTGCTAAGTAGGCCACAAATTGGACAAGAGTAAGGTTTTAATGTCTACTGGGAAGTGTTGCCGATAGTTAGTCTAAGATTCTTACATTTTAGTTGTGTTACTGGGGAAAGTGATAGGAGTAGTTAGCAAACATCACTTGGAGATAGTCATAAATACTGAATGTGTGCTTGCATTTTAAGGATTATAACAAGCATTGGTGAAGTCATATAAGAAATTGACTTAGTTGGGGTCTAGAAGGCTAGACCCACTTTGGAGGTTTTAACCTAGGCATTTTACATTAGATATAGATTGATAGAGGGAGATTTAAAGAGAGATCCTTTATTCTTAGGCAAGCAATCATTTCTTTTCTCTTTTAGTAAATTGATTTTCTTCATTATTTTGTTTTATTCTGTATTTAAAAATGTTGAACCATTAGTGAGTGAATTTTCTGTTTGTAGTACTGTGGTAGTTTAAATAATTCAGCTGGAGCAAAATCAAAGTAGTGATTTTTCAACTTTATGTTAAATACAATAAGTGTATATTTGACATGGGTGTTTTAAATGTTGCCTTTGTATTTATTATTTTCTCAAAGTGCCTGCAATATCTTGATGTTTCGGTGCTGGGCGAGCTAGTTCCTAGGTTATGTGAACTGATCAGAAGTGGTGTAGGTCTTGGAACTAAGGTAAGATTGTGTGTATGTGTGTATGTTTGTGTGTTTAAAGACAAGTTGTCATGTAGCTAAGGCTGGCCCTTCAACTCATTATATAGCATAGCCTGGCCTCATGGTAGTCCTCCTGTCTTCGACCTCCTAATATTGGAAGACATATTGCAAGCATGTGCCACCATACCAATAGTGTGTGTATATGTGTGTGTACACCCCATGCACATGTATGTGGAAGCCACATAACACATATTTATTTATTTATTTATTTATCTATTTATTTATTGAGACAAGGTCTCCTATAGCCTAGTCCAGTCTCATACTTCCTATATAGCCGAGGACATGGTTGAACTTTTGATCCTTCTGCCTATATTTCCTAGTGCTGGAATTACAGGCACCATGCTTGTATACTTTCTTACATGTTGTCATGCTCTGCTTGTCTTACTGTTTTTAGTAGAATTGTTTCTGGTTGTCATGTAAATGTTTTTGGATTTTCTGTCGTTACCAGTTAATGAAGAAGCTCACTCATCTTTCAAGGAGTAATCATTTTAGATAATGATTAGAAATTTTCATGTAAGAGTAAGTGTTTGGGTAGAAAAATAATTTCTTTTTGAGACACTTAAAAAGGTCAGATACTGCCTTCATCTGCTTACTTTTTTTTCCTACTGTTAAATTCATTGTTGTTGTTATTTTAGAGCAAATCTCACTCTGCGGTGTCCCCACACTGCCTTCCTGCCGCAGACTTGGCAGTACTGGGGCTGTGTGTGTCCTGACACTCAGCTTCGTCCCATTTTAAAAGAAATAACTCATTTCTTCTCCTGACAAAATGACTTCAGTTCTAATTAACATTTATAAATCAGGAGAAAGTTAAAAATACAAACACTGGTAGTTTTACCTTGCAGAGAAAACAGCTGTTTATCTTTCTGAGTGTTCCCCTCCTGTGTATTCTCTGTATGCATATCTTCCACATCGTGTTCTGTAAGGGGTATGTGATACTCTGCTTGTGGCAATACATCCTGTATTTTAGTCAAACAAAGGACATCTGACTTTTCAGCTTTTGAAAAGATATTAAATAAAGAACCATTCTTCTGTTTGGACACATATAAACTGATTTATTTGGAAATTTCTAGAAATGGAAATGTTAATACAATTGTTTGTGACACGTCTCATTCTGAGAGTTATGCTTGTTTTCTTTGTTATTCACAGTGCCTTAAGTTCTTGTTCCTAAAACAATAATCTCTGTATAACTAGTTTAAAATGTTTTTCTTTTTCTATTTTGAATCCCAGAGCAGCGATTGGACTTAATGTGTTTTATCTTTAAGTTGTTGGTGCCTAAAAGAAGTAGCTTGATAGAATATTGTGACATGAAATTTAGACCTTTGTTTTTGTGACCTTAAAGGGAGGCTGTGCCAGTGTCATCGTGTCTCTGACTACTCAGTGTCCCCAGGACCTAACGCCCCACTCAGGTGAGTTTGTCATATGACACTTTTTCATGGCTGTGTTTATTATTTCAGACTTTTAAAAAAGGAAAATTATTTGGACATGCTTGTTTGCTTGGCCTCTACTCAAACCTGACCCAGTCATTTTGTTAGCAAGCTTTTATTGTCTTACAAGTAAGTTTCTCAGTGATGTAAAGAGGTAAAAGTACCTTTGATTCTGAAGAACTCCCCCCCGACACACACACTTTTTAAAAAACTATTTATAGCTAACTTTACATGAGCTTTTTTTTTTCTCTTCTAGATAGGGTTCTGGTGGGGTTTCTGTATATAGCTCTCAGTTTTGTATTTTCCACAATATTCTGGACAGAGGTTAATTTTTAATTTTAATTTTATTTTTTAAACTTTATTATTTGTGTCTTTCACATCATGCATCTCAATCCCATTCATTTCTGGTCCCTTTGTATTCACCCTCTGCCCTTGCAACTCCACCCCCCCAATAAAATAAAATAAAATTTAGAGGAAAAGAGGAAAAATTTCATTGTGGAAGCTATAATTTTTAGTTTTTCAAATGAAAGAAAGTAGATAGTACAAGTAATATTCAAAAGATCTAAACTACTATTTAGTAAATCTGATTAATTTCAGGATTATGGGTTTTTTTTAGTCCTGGGGATGTAACAAAATATTTGACCAACCACACAATTGATGTTTTTATTTTTTTCTGTAGGTAAACTTATGAGTGCTTTGCTTAGTGGTCTGACAGATCGGAACAGTGTAATTCAGAAATCCTGTGCATTCGCCATGGGCCATTTAGTTCGGGTGAGTGGAATTTCTCACTCAGTTAAGTACAGCTCTGGGAATTATAAAGGAGTGAATAGGGTTATTTGTTTTTCAGACTTCACGGGACAGCAGCACTGAAAAACTGCTACAGAAGCTCAATGGCTGGTACATGGAGAAAGAAGGTACCTTTCTTTTTCTTTTTATGTCATTTTAAATTTATATATTAACCAAGTAAACTATAGCGTTCTGGTAGAAACATTTTAAATTGGTTTATTTAGATCATTTACCCTAAAAAATAGTAAATGCTGACAGAATTTTGGTTTCTTCTCTTGAGAACCTATTTACAAGACCGCTTGTGCTTTGACTATTCATGCAATTGGAAGATACAGTCCTGATGTGTTGAAGAACCATGCCAAAGAAGTTCTGCCCTTGGCGTTTCTAGGCATGCATGAAATTGCTGATGAGGAGAAATCTGAAAAAGAAGAGTGTAATTTGTGGACTGAAGTATGGCAGGAAAATGTACCTGGTTAGTAAATGGTGGCTGCAAAGTAATGTGTTTCTTAGGAACACAGCTGGAATTTTTGACTCACATTGTTGAGTAATAATTTTCCAAGGACTTGAACGTGTGTCACATTTCATTTTTAGCACATCCCAATTTCAAAGTTTGCAAAGTGCCACTCAGAGCTCTTCTCCTTGACTTGTTGCTGTCTGTGTGAGAGAATGGAAACTGTGTGTTGCATGTAATTGTGATCTTATGTGGTCTTAGAGGACTATTGTATAGAGCTGTGTTTTTAACCTTGATACACATACTGATGATGACCTTTTTTAATCACATCCCTGACAGTGTGTCTAAGTTCATGAATTCCTGCTGTTACAAAAAGAAGTTGCACTACCTGCTGTCTCTCCCTTTAGCCGGTGCTGTGTTTTACCAGTTGACAGTCACTGCTTTAGACAGATGGCACTGACTTACATTTAAAAATGATTTTTAAAAATTTTTCCTGTCACTTGAGAGGTGTTTTAACTTGTCTTTTTTTTAAATGTAGGCTCCTTTGGAGGTATTCGATTATACCTGCAGGAGTTGATTACTATTACCCAGAAGGCTTTACAGTCGCCGTCTTGGAAAATGAAAGCCCAGGGTGCAATTGCTATGGCATCAATTGCGAAACAAACAAGCTCTCTAGTACCTCCACATCTGGGAATGATACTGAGTGCTTTGGTGCAAGGCCTGGCTGGAAGAACATGGGCGGGAAAGGTAAAAGAACCATTCATGTTAAAGAATTGGGACTGCATCTTCATATAGACTAGGAATCTGATTTGATGTGACTTTGGATTATTTTTGCAGCAAGGTTTTCTAGCTAGTGGAAGATTTTGCCTAATTATCTGTGGCATTTTATATCAAAATATGTCCCATGTGTTCTTGAGTAAAGCATAGTAATTTTGGAGATTGGTATGTTTTACATATTTAGGCTTACAAGTTACCTCTTAAACCAGATCACCATTTTGTGCCCACTGATCTTCAGTAGAGCCAGAATTGGCCATATATGAAATTGAGTACACTGAACTGCGTCTAATCTTGGCACCAAAGATGCTCATTGCTGGGACTTGAGAATTGGAAACTTTTTATAAAAAACAGCGATAAAAAAATATGTATATTGGGTGTTCCGTGGAAAACATGAGATTGAGGCAGTATTTGTAGTTAGTTTTGTAAAGGTCACTAGTGGCCACCACAGTATTGCTTATGGTCGTAATAGTGGATTGCCTGGTGACCTTGGTTACCAATTCTTGGGCCTTTATGAATTAGAGATTCATGGGTTGGGCAGAATTCAGTAATGTGCATAAGTGCATAAATGTTAGTTTTTGTTGTGGTGGTTGTAAAATTCTCAATGGGGTGATTGTAGTCATAGTGCAAAGAATGTGACATGTAGCTTTAATAGTATGTCTTCATCTTTAACTTATCAGGAAGAACTACTAAAAGCCATTGCCTGTGTGGTGACAGCTTGCAGGTAAATGTTCTCTTAGTGAACATACCTTTTCTTAATGGGAAGCTTAAAACTGAAGCTTTTCTTAACCATTCTGATGTTTTTCTATGGATTCTATAGTACAGAGTTGGAAAAGTCTGTACCCAATCAACCCACCACAAATGAAATTCTTCAGGCCGTCTTGAAGGAGTGTTGCAAAGAGAATCTGAAATATAAGATTGTAGCAATCAGCTGTGCAGCTGATGTTTTGAAAGCCACCAAAGAAGACAGGTTCCAGGAGTTTTCTGACATTGTCATACCCCTCATCAAGAAGGTAATGGCTACCTATATCACCCTAGGTTTTCCTCTGTCCTGGTCATGTGTTTTTATTAGGACAGGTTTAGCAGTAAAGTGTCAGAAAATTCTGAAAATATTACGGCCTCAAATAAGATACAAGTTGTCTTACTTGATAGTTGGAAGCCCCTGAAGTCTTCAACGATCCCATTTATACATTATCCTCATGATCTATGGTTTATCTGGGTCTCAGGCAGATGACAGAGGAGATAAAGTTAGGGTAATAGTAAGCATATAACTAATAAGTAAGCATATTTCTCTCAAGAAAAGTTCTGGAAACAGAAACATAACACTTTGATTCATGTTCCATTGGCCAGCACTCTTAACCATATAGCCCCGTTTGGCAGCAGATGAGGCTGGGAAAGGTAATTTTTCATATGGGCACCCTTTTTCCACCTGTGGGAGGAGGAAGAGAGTACCTATATAGTGAACAGCTTCTGCCATAGTAAACTCTACCTTGCTACATGTGCAGATGCCAAGTAGTCATTTAGTATGAAGTCAAGGAGGAAGAGAATGTGTTATATAGTTCACCTTTGCATTGTCCTAGGGGAAATTTTGGTTGAAAAAAAATGACTGGCTTAGTTTGGAAACCAAAGTACTCATTTTTTAATAAAGTGGGCATCATAAGGAAAGAGGGATATAGTTGGTCTATTTGTTTTGGTTAGTTTTAAGACAGGCTCTTTTTATTATATAGTGATGGCTGTCCTGAAACTCACCATGTAGCTTTGTAAACCAGAATAGCCTTAAACAGAGATCCACCTGCCTTTGTCTCCTGACAAAGTATTAAAGTATTTATTTATTAATATTAAGTATTATTATATTATATTATATTATTATAATTATTATATTATAATTATTAATATTAATATTGGTATTAAAGGCATGTGCTCTCACGCCTGGCCTGATCTACTTATTTTTAAAGCATGAGATATTTTCTTGTGTTGCTCTTAATTCATATATTTGATTTCTTTCAGTAATAAGGCTGTTTTAGGTATTTCTGTGATAATGTATGGATTTTGGAGATTTGTATTTTAAGTGGATTATATTGCCTGCTAGCCGGTTGAATTACTTCTGGCTTCTTTACCAGTTTTTTAAGAGTTTGTGTTTGGAACATTGCCAAGTTCTTCCTATCTTTAATTCTCTTGATTCAAATACAAGTCTTATTAGGTTATACTCAATATAGTACATGTGCAGTATTTTTTCCACTCTCATTTACAAATTAAAGTATTTCTCAAGTTTATTAGAAATAAATATTCTCTTACTGCAAACAGAAGAACTCATGGTAGAAGACCAGCGTTTGGTTCTTGGTTAATATCTCCTGTTCTACACTCTGATTGTTTCAATAATATAACTGTAACTTGGAGGAAGGAAGTACTAGAATTTTCTTTTCTTTTCTTTGAAATGTCCTAGAACTCACTTGAAAGCATGGGAATCCGGAGCACCAAAGCTGAAGATGAAAATGATAAGGAAAGAGAGCTGCAGCTGGAGTCTTTGTTGGGTGCCTTTGAGAGCTTGGGCAAAGCATGGCCCAGGAATCCAGAAACTCAACGTAAGCACTGGAACACAGATTCGTAGAAGCACTGTAACTAGAAGTCACTTAGCAGGAACACAGATTTTTCTGCATGGCTTAGTAATAATCTTTATATAGTCTGAGTATTAATAGTGAGAATTATCCTATATCCATTTTACTCTTACATCAGCAAATACGTACATGGATCACTGTATTATTAGAGATACTATAAGAAAGTATCACAGGGGGCTGGAGAGAAAGTTTAGTGGTTTAGCACACTCAGTGGCTGCTCTTCCAGAGGACCCAATGAGTTTGATTTCCAGCACTCACATGTTGGCTCACAACAGTCTGTAACTCCTGTCCCAGGGCTTCCAAGGGTACCAGGCAGCCATGTGGTGCACAGATAGACATCTAGACAGAACACTTATACACAAAATAAATAAATAAAAGTAAAATATATCTTTAAAACAAAACTATCACAGACTGGATGGTTTAAAGAACAGATTTTTTTTTTTCCAGTTTTGATGGATAGAAGTCCAAGATCAAGTTGTTGGTAGGGTTGGCTTCTTCTGAGACTTCTCCACTTAGCTTGTGAATAGTTGCCTTTCCTATCTTCCCATGGCTTCCTTCTGTGTTGCTGTGTCCAGATCTCTTGTAAGGAGATTAGATTAGGATCATATGATTCCTTTAAATATTGTGTCGTTTTGTATAATACAAGAAGGTTGGGGGTTACAGTTGATTTTATAACAACCATGATGCATTTTATGTAGATATTTGACTATAAAATTAGTTTTGTTACTCTTATTTAGGTTCATAGTTTTTTTTTCTGAGAAGTCTACAATATTAGTAGAATTCCTTCCTTTCAAAATTGCTGGCCTTGCTATCAAGTCTTCAGTAAGCAAGCGATAGTTATTTTATTGAGAAACTCAGGGCAGAAATTTTCAGAACTAAACATATACTTACAAAGGATTAAATAGTAAGCTGTGATTATTGGTTCAAGTTATAGTTATAGCCCATTGACAAGGCCTTAAATTTAAGCAAATGCTTAATATTTTGTCTTATTCTGGGAACTACATTTTGTCCCAATGAACATCTCTGTATTAATTATTTGTATATGTTAACTCAGGTATAATATTTTCTTTGAGCCCATCATTCTTTGTGTAGCATGAGGAATTTCTCAAAAGAAACTATCCATTTGTGAGTGGTGTTATGAACTATAGTGGACGTCAGATTGCTTGATTAACTTGCTTAATAGCTAGATAAAGTTAAAGTAGGGAATTCCATAAGAAAGGTAACAATATAAATAAGACTTTAACACAAGACAGAGAGATGTACATTTGTTTACCAGTTTCTGAGCAGAGAGCCAAGCATTTTGTTTCAGAATATCAGTGTTGCATACTAGCTTCTCACATTTCACAGTATCAGCTGTAATTTCTGTTTTTTTGTGTCTCTTTGAAGTAGAGACACAAATCACAAACTGTTATGAAGTAATCAGGATAGAATTTTTACTCCTTATGTTTTATATTTAAACCTTATAAATTTTATAGTAGGTATCCAACTTATGGCTCATTGGCCACATTTGTCCCCAGGGTAGATAAGAATGTGGCCCAACATGTTGAAAATGATGTCATATTGCAGCATCAGAAGTTTGGAAAGCCCTGTTCTAAGCATTTAAAGCCAACTCCTATCAATTTTTCATTTTTTGTTGAGTTTATATTCCTATCTACTAGGATAATAGTAATTGTCTAATGATGGAGACACTTGTGATTGGGACTAGTTTATGATATAAGACTGATTGTTAATCAACTTGTAGCTGGCCGAGGACTCTAGAGGGCGCTCGAGGGTTCTTCTGCACTTTTTGGTTTCCTTAAGGGAATTTACAAGTGTGGCTAATCTGCGGCCTCTACTCTGTGGAAGACACAATGCCTCAACAGCAAACCATTAGGACAAACTCACGTGTGTGTGTGTGTGTGTGTGTGTGTAGGGGGCTCTGATCACGGAAATGTTTTTGGAAATTAGATAGAAAATCCTGCTAAGAGTTTGGAGAAAATTCCATGTCCTTTAAAGGCATTTATTGGCCCTCATATTCTTCCACTTTTGTCTTTCTTTTAATGCTGCATCTTCTTTTCTCTGTTCCTCCTTTGTCATCTTTCACCTTTGTACATATTTCCTCCTCTGTCCCTTCATCTTCCTCTCAGGCTGTTACCGTCAGGAGCTGTGCAAACTGATGTGTGAACGACTGAGACTCAGCACATGGAAAGTGCAGCTCGGTGTCCTCCAGTCGATGAACGCCTTTTTCCAGGGGTAATTTGCTTCATGATCCAGGTTTTTATTTTATTTCCCTATTGAATGGAAGTCTTAACATTTATACATTTTTATTGAAAATGGATTCTTTTCTCATACAATGTTATCCTGATTATAGATTGATTCCCCTCCGTCTACTCTCCCAGTGCCTTCCCACTTCCCTCCCCTCTGGATCCACTCCCTCTCTGTCTTTCATTAGAAAAGAGCAGGGTTTCTGAGAGAACAACCAAAAGTGACAGAGCAAAATCTATCATATCAGAGTTGTTCATGGCAGTCCAGCAGGAGGGGAAGAGTCCCAAGAGCAGGAGGCACAAGAGCCAGAGACCCACTCGGTCTCACAGTCAGGGGTCCCATAGATACTTAGCTAAGAGCTATAGTATAGACACAGAGACCTGGTGTAGACCATGTAGGCCGGGTGCTTGCTGCTTCAGTCTCTGTGAGCTCATATGTGCCTTGCTTAGTTGATTCAGAGGGCTTTGTCCTCCTGGTGTCCTTCATCTCTGGCTCTTACAGTCTTTTCACTTCTTCTTCTGAGGGATTCTCTGAGCTCCGAAGGAGGTGGTCTGATGTAGACTTCTCATTTAGACTCTCTCTCTACATAATGTCTGGCTGTGAGTCTCTGCATCTGTTCCCATCTGCTTCTGTCAAATCAGACAAGTTCTGTACTACCAATGCCCTAGTGTATTTTGCAAGCAGGACAGATTGCAGTAGGTCAAAGTTTAGTGGCTAGGTTGACATCCACGTTTCTCTTTTGGTAGACTGCAGAGTACCTTTCCACACCAAAGAGACTAGAACATAGGAGTGAAGGCTCCATGTAGACACCAGCTCAATGTCTCTATGCTCAATTAGTTGTGTGGGTGTTGTCCTGGGCAGTGGGGCCCCACTCTCTATAGAGAGCAACCCTTTGTCTTGGCAACAGCCTGAGTTGTTTGGAGATTTCCATGGCACCCACCTTGGCCAACAGCTCAGTTGAATGCAGCCCAGTCCCATAAGCCTCTCCTGGCTACAAGAGATGACCAGTTGAGACTCTTTATCCCCCAATACTAAGAGTCCTCATTAAGATTACCTTCATAGATTCCAGAAAGTTATCACTGCACTAGGTTTCCACACCACCCCGCAAATGCCCCTCAGTTCTAGCCGTCTCTCTCCGCCCTCTTCTCCCTCTATCCTATCTCCTCTGTACCTTGTTCCCTGCCCCCTCCCACCTGTCCCCAGTCTGCCTATAAAATCTACTTTCCCCTCCCAGGAAGATTCATACATCCCCCCTCAGACCCTTCCTCTTTACCTAGCCTCTCTGGATTATAGCTTGGTTATCATTTACTTAATAGCTAATATCAACATAGAAGTAATTACATACATACCATAGTTATCTTTCTGGGTATGGGTTACCTCACTCAGGATGATTTTTTTGTAGTTCCATCCACTTGCCTGCAAATTTCATGGTGTCATTTTTTAATAGTGCAATAATACTGCACTGTGTACATTTACACAGTCTTATTAATTTAGATACCACTAGTATATGAAGTAACATGATAAAGTGATATGTTCAGATAGAAGTTATGCTAGGAAAGTTTTAAAACTGTTCGTTATGAGTAATATTGTATATCACTTTCATGTTTATAGGTTAATGCTTTTGGAAGAAGAACATGCAGATCCTGAAGCTCTGGCTGAAATTCTTCTTGAAACTTGTAAATCAATTACTTATTCTTTAGGTGAGTGAGTAACTAGATCTTGAGTAGTTTTTTGTTGCTGTTGTTTATTTTGTTTTTGGTGCTGGTGCTGGTGGTCAGGCACAGTCCTTCATGTATGCTACTGGGCAGGCACCCTACCACTGAGCTACATCCTCACCCCTTTTTTGTTTTGAGTTAGGGTCTCTCTGCTACCTAGGTTGGGATTGAGTTTATGGCCTCAGTCACCCAGGTAGCTAGGATTATAGTTTGTGTCACTGTCTTAGTTATGATTTCTATTGCCGTGAAGAGACACCATGACCAAGGCAACTCTTTTAAAGGAAAACATTTAACTGGGGCTGGCTTACAGTTTCAGAGGTTCAGTCCATTATCATCATAGTGGGAAATGGCAGTGTGTTGGAGAAGTAGCTGCATCTTGATGCGCAGGCAGCAGAAGGAGACTGAGTGCCACACTGGGCTTAGCTTAAGCATATGAGACCTCATTGCCGGCCCCATAGTGATAAACTCTCTCTGACAAGGTCACACCTACTCCCAACAAGGCCACACCCACCAGTAGTGCTACTCCGTATGGGCGAAGCATTCAGACACTTAAGACTGTGGGGGACATTCCTGTTCAAACCACTGTAGTCATCACACTTTGCTAAAGTAACTCTGATTTTAAAACTAAGGAGCTGAGTCTCAGGATCTAGATTTCTGGAACAATTACTGACTGTTCTGTTTATATGCTTGCTATATGTCCCCTAACAAGGGTATTTTATCTGGAATTACAGTAGAATTTTAGGTTTGTACCTTTATGTTAGCATTAAATATTTATTTAAAAATAGTTTCCAGTTTTATAAAACAGCTGTTAAAATAGTTCAGTTAGTACCTGTATATACTTAATCAAGAGCCATTAGCTGTGGATAGGGAACACTGTGTTCCCTTTATCTTTGGGGCTTCTTTCTGTATGTATCTTTTTCCTGAGCACTTCAAAAGTATATTGATTATAACATGTACCTTTATTCTTAAATTCTTGAATGTATATTCCTTTTTATAATAACAGTATAGTTATCAAATATATACAATATTTCATGGATGCAGTATTCTTTTATCAATTTTTTCTTATTCATATTGTAAATCTTAAGTAATTGTTTTTGTAGGATCTCACATTCCCTTCAACTCTTCATTAAAATATAACCTAGGACCACATATTAAATATAATTGTCATAATTTTATAGTCTCTCTTTCCCTCTTTTTTCTTTTCTAGACAGGGTTTCTCTTTGTTGCCTTGGGTATTCTCAAAGTCACTCTCTAGTCCAGGCTGGCCTTGAACTCACAGAGATCCTCCTGCCTCTGCCTCCAGAGTGCTGGGATCAAAGGCGTGAACCACCACACCCTGTAGATGTATCCAACCTTCTTATTAAATAAGAAACACAGAACCAATGCAAAGAAGAAAGCCAAGAGGTCAGAGCTAAGAGCTAAAACCTTACCCTTCCTCCTGCGGTGGTCCTACCTCTCCGAACCAGAGCTACCCCTGTGTTAAAGTCTTTATATAGAGTTCCTGTCCTGCCTTCTCATTGGTTGTAAACCCAGCCACATGACCGCCTCCTCACAGCCTGTCTGTATAGGCCTCCAGGTTTTCCATGATTGGTATTAAGATTAAAGGCATGTGTATCCAATAATGGCTGTATCCCTGAACACACAGAGACTTACCCAGCTCTGCCTACCAAGTGCTGGAATTACAAGCGTACGCTACCACTGCCCTGGTTTCCTATGGCTTGCTAATAGCTCTGACCCCCGGGCAACTTTATTTATTAACATACAAATAACATTTTAATACAAATAAAATATCACCATATTTCCCCTTTTCTATTTTAATAAAAAGGAAAAAAAAGAAAAAACTTATAACTAATATAAGAAAAACTATATACAAAAGTACAATAACTATATACAATATATACAAGTAATAAATACCTAAACAATGTCTAGTCCATTTGTATTTGACAAATTCAGAGAAAATAATTTCATTATCTATCCTATTTTGGTAAGTCCAAAATGTATCCTAATTAATCTTCAACTATAACTAACTAACCTTCAACTCCCTCAGAGACCCAAGAAGGAAATAATATTAGCTAACACAAATAAAAACAGGAAGTGCATGCAAGCAACTTCCAAAAAATTTGTGAGTTGACAGAAACAGCCAGCTGTCTGGACAGTCACCTGAGGTTTCTCCGAAGTGCTGGGGCATCATCTTCAGCCTGTAGGCTTAGCATATCTGACAGACTCATTTGTGAAGTAGGATGTACACAAGGTCAACAGTTCAACCTCACATTGAGTGAGAGTAGTCCATGTACCAGAAACACCTGAATTCCACTAGTGTCATGTCATGATTCAGGATTTTAAATTCTGGAAATTGTTGATGGTTTTTTAATTCAGCTGTCCATGCTTCTTGGCTGTGTATATATGGCTTCATCTCAGCATCCTATTCTTCTCCATATCCCTCTATCAAATGCCAGTCTACTATTGAGAGGCGTGAGCTTAGTTACTCTTCAAGAATAACTGTTTCAGCTGCTGTTCCATTGCACATCAGAGGCCATCGGCCCACTGCCTGTTCAGCTGCCTTCGAAGAAAAGGGCACTGTACCTTTTCCGAATTGCGAAGGCCACTTCAGGGATGGTGCCATATTGTCCTGGCCTCTGAAGATGCCTTTTGATAAAGCCATAACCACACTTGTTTTGGCAAGAATCAGTAGTCCTTTGTTTCATGTCCTGTCTGTTCATTTTGTCAGCAGTTGATTCGAGGATACTTTGTTGTTCAGTGGCTAACTTTTGCCACAATGAAAGCTAACTCCATATACAGTTTCTTCAATGCCCATATTTTCTCTGAAGTAGATTGGTACTGCCAGGAGCTGACATGTCTCATAGTCATAACAAAAAAGAAATTTTCTAAGTTATTAAAACATTTTAAATGCCATATTCTGTAGATCTCTGAAGGGTTTGAAGATAACCTGTCTATCTAAAATATATCTACTCAGTCTTGAAAACATACCTAATATAACTACAAGTTCTATTATAATGTCTAACTACTAACTTTCATTTCTTTATATCCTAATAGTTGGTAATAACATTCAAGGATCAGAAAATTGCATTACATTGTTAGATGAATGGTACAATTAAAAAATATATATAACATTTTCTAACAATATCAATTTCAATATATATAATTTATATACAATATAAAACAATCCAATCCAATGTAAAGTATTTACATTTTTCTTTTCTTTCTTTTTTTTTTTTTAATAAGAACCTTAAATCTAATCTCCTTTGCTTAGCCTTTTTCCTAACCCTTGACAGCAACTTGTAACCAACCCCCCTAATCAATGAAAATTATCCCAGACCCAAAACCCATTAAAAGACCAAAAAAGGCCGGGCGGTGGTGGCGCACGCCTTTAATCCCAGCACTCGGGAGGCAGAGCCAGGCGGATCTCTGTGAGTTCGAGGCCAGCCTGGGCTACCAAGTGAGTTCCAGGAAAGGCGCAAAGCTACACAGAGAAACCCTGTCTCGAAAAACCAAAAAAAAAAAAAAAGAAAAGAAAAAAGACCAAAAAAAACCAACCGCCCCACACCACCTGTTTGGGAATGTGGGCGTCGTATTCTTGAAATTGCTTCCTGCTGGGTATGGGCGAAGGTATCTTTATCCTGAAAGAAAAATTTTAGGTTAATTGTCAAATTCTAGGAAAAGTAAATATATCCTTCGTTATCCAGTCTGTGTATAATGCCAAAATTCAGGGTTTATCTCAAATCCTTATTCAAGTAGTCTTTGAGACTGGATCATCTCAGCTAGCTCTCTCAAAATTGCTAAGCACTTTGTAGTTCAAAGCTGATCTGTAGATGATGTTTGTCAGCTTAGTGATGTTATTATTGTCCACGTGGAATTGTTGTTGTTGTGGGGCCCCATCTTCTTCCTGGAGACTTCAGTTGATGTTAGGCCTAACCGTGATTTCCTGCAAAAAACTGATAAGAGACTCGAACACAAAGACTATATATGCGACTTTTTAGAATTAGTTAGTACTCTATATGACCATTTATATCTTAACAAAGTTTAAAGTGTATATATATCTATATATATTGATCTTATAAATTTTGATATAAAATTCATACTTTAAGAAAAGTTTAAAGAATCAGAATAGAATCAAAGAGTTGAGATTCGTAATAGAATAGTCCCTAAATTAATTTGGCTTTTCTCCTGTCCCATAGCAGAAGATGGCTCTTTTCTTCTGGCATGATACAGGGAGTTTGCATTTTCCTTTTAACAACATGCTTGAGTTTAAAGAAGGAGAGAGCCATTCTCCAACTCCAAAGTCAGCTTTAAATTTTAATTGAACTGGGACTATTAGAAGTTAAATAATGTTAAATCTTTAAAGAAAAGCAGAAACAAACATTTAGGAAGACATAAAATTTTTTTAGATAACATACTCATATGCCATTTCACTCTGTTTCTTAGGATAGATGATTTGTCCCTTTTCTTCAGTTGTCTCATTTGTCCAGTGTTCTTCAAATTCCTTAACCTTCATTCTCCTAAAAGACAAAAACAAAAGCCTTTCCCCAAGGTTTTTTGGGGATGTTCCTTTTTGACAAGTTATCTGATTAAATGAAAAGGCATGTGTTACTGGTGTAAGTTAGTTTAAATTGGATGTTTACGATAGTTGATGAACTATCACCTCCTCTAATTAAGAGGTCTCTCTTGTTCAAATCGAACCTTTATCAATTTTGATGGTACCCACAGCTTATCTTCTCCTGTAGAAATAAAAGCAAAACCTCGTCCCCAATGTAACACATATCCTGGTTTCCATTCTGAGGTCAGCACATCCTTAAAGTATATAGGTTGATTTAATTCTGTAGTTTTTTCTATTATCCAATGTCTCTCTGCAGCTGTTGTTCCTTTCTCATTGGCATTGAGAAAATTCAAAGTTAATAGAGCATTATGTAGTCTATTTCTGGGGGTTTTTGTTACTCCTTTTTGTTTATTTAGCATATCCTTTAGAG